CCCCTAACCCTAACCCTAACCCTAACCCTAACCCTAACCCTAACCCTAACCCTAACCCTAACCCTAACCCTAAGATTCTCATCTGGCTGGCCTACCAGTCCACCGGAGTCATATACGGTGATATCGGAACCAGGTCTGTCATCTCTTGCTCACTCCCTCGAAGGCAAGCTTCCTGAATACTGATCGGCTCGTAGTCCCCTCTACGTCTACTCGTCCACCTTCACCAGCCACCCAGCATACGACGACCTGCTAGGAGCGCTTTCCATCATCATCTGGTCGCTGACACTTATGGTCACGGTCAAGTACATATTCATAGTCTTATCAGCCGACGATGATGGCGAGGGAGGGACCTTTGCCCTGTACAGCCTCCTGGCGCGCCATGCCTACATCGTGCGGCGTGACCCCAACGTTAACGGGGCACTGAGGATGGAGCGACAACTCACCAGGGACATGAAACCGGCGAACAAGGGCGTTCGAACGGTGATTGAGAGGTCCCGGACTGCCCAAGTTTTCCTCCAGATACTTGGAGTCTTGGGAGTTGCCATGGTCATGTCGTAAGCATACAATACCTCGAGAAACATCAGGCTGGGAGGAGTCCCTGACAAAGTCCTAGGGACGGTGTCCTCACCCCTGCGCAGTCGGTATTAGGAGCGATTCAAGGTATCGAGGTCGCCCACCCCAACATCTCGTCCAGCACCATCGTCGGGTCAACGTGTGCCATTCTCGTCGTCCTTTTCGGCGTGCAGCCGTTTGGAACCTCCAAAATTGCAACCACCTTTGCGCCTATCATCATCATCTGGCTGCTCTTCAACCTCTGTTGCGGCATCTACAATCTGGCAAAATTCGATCACTCAGTCCTCAAAGCGTTCAGTCCCTATTTTGCTGGTTCGTACCTGATGCGCAACAAGACAGATGGGTGGCGGTCCCTGGGTGGCTTGCTACTTGCCTTTACAGGAGTTGAAGCACTTTTCGCCGACCTGGGCGCTTTTAGCCAAAGGGCTATCCAGCTCTCCTGGCTCTGCTTTACGTACCCATGTCTGCTGCTCGCATGTATGTCCTGAGATCCCATCCTGTGATCTCTAATAATTCTCCCATTCGTTATCACTAACAATAATTACTCGCAGACATTGGCCAAGCAGCATATATCTCGCAAGACGCCACTGGAACTGCCTATACCAACCCGTTCTTCTACACGATCATTCCGGGAACCTTCTACTTTAGTCTCGTGATCGCTATTCTGGCTGCCATTGTCGCTTCGCAGGCTATGATTACTGGCGCTTTCCAACTCCTTTCACAGATCATGACGATGTCGTACTTCCCTCATATCAAGACTGTTCATACATCTAAGCTATTCCACGGCCAAGTTTATATGCCGTTGGCGAATTGGTTGCTGATGATTGGTTGCATTGTTGTCACAGCTGCATACAGCAACGTAAGTCTTCCCATCCTGACCAGTACTTCTGGACCTCCTCCCAGTCACCGATCCCCACTCCCCAAGCGAATCTCCACAGCGTACTGACCCCCCTTTAACAGACCACAAGACTCGGCAATGCCTATGGCGTCTGTGTTATCTTCGTAACATTCATCACTACCTGTCTCGTCTCCCTCGTCGCAATTTTGGTTTGGCGCATCAACATACTAATTGTAATCTTCTTCTTCCTCATCTTTGGTTGCCTCGACGGCGTCTATCTCTCCTCGGCACTCACCAAAGTCCCCACCGGTGCCTGGTTCTCGCTCATGCTCGCATGCATTCTCTCTTGCATCTTCGTCCTGTGGCGCTTCGGCAAGGAGCAGCAATGGAAAGCGGAAGGGGAAGACCGTTTCCAACCCTCCCAGCTCCTCACTTCGACCGAAGGTGGGGAGTTCAAACTCACCGCAGCGTACGGTGGCGGTGTTGTCTCCAGTACCAATGGTGTTGGCATCTTCTTCGACAAAGTCGGTCATATGGTACCCATCGTATTTGCACAATTTGTGAGGAAGTTCAGCGCCCGCCCGGAAATCACCGTCTTCTTCCACATGCGTCCCTTACCCACACCATCAATCCCAGAATCCGAAAGATACATTATCCAGCGCACGTCGATCCCGAGCTGCTATCGCCTCACCGTGCGACATGGCTATATGGACTCAGTCGTCTCTCCTGATCTAGGGCGCATGGTCATCGAGCAACTCATCTTGTTTATAACTCGCGGAAATTCGAGCAATACCATTTCCGGAGACTATTCGCCAGCGATTCGCTCGGAACTCGACGCTCTCGACAGAGCTGCCAATGCACAGATTGTGTACGTGATGGGCAAAGAAGAGATGAAGATCAAAAAGGGGACCAATATCATTAGGCGGTTCCTCTTAATGATGTTCTTGTGGATGCGAGAGAACAGTAGGACGAAGATGGCGGACATGAACATTCCTACCGATAACTTGGTCGAGGTCGGGTTCGTGAAAGAGATTTAGATGCCGCTAGTTTATTGTCCTGCGAAGCGTCCTTGGTTTCTAGAGGTTTTAAACGTATAGGAGCTGTAAGCAAGGTTAACCAAATCCAAGTTTGTAGAGAGATCATGGTATGGTGTTTAATGATCAATCTTGACTGGTGAGTTAACTTCTCTGTCAGAGTTGTAATTTGAATCACAATTACATCCCGGCGTAAGTGGGCTTTTCCTTTCCCCGTCCTTCATGAATAATAGAGGTGGCAGAGTTATATACGCAAACTTGTTCCATCAACTCACGAAGCCTTCTAAGTTCTAACCCACTCCTGTAAAGAGGGCGTATTAAACCTCACTGTAGTAATAGCGCTCTTGGAAGAAGGCTACATAGGTAGGTAGATATTGCATCTCTTAAGCTTAGTTCATTCAATAGAACCTAGTTGATATTATATCTTAGTGTTGTGAGTCTGTGACATAAAGGTCCTATACCATTAATTTCCTGCCATCAACCATTCAAATCCTTAGCTTCCTTAGGCTCCGCATTCCCTTTCCCATTAGATGCCTTCTCATCTTCCTCAGTAATATCAGAAAGCGCCGTCGGCTGTTGAATCGCTCCCTCCCCATTTATGTTGAGATGCTGCTCTACTCCTTTGTTCCTACTTCCCGATTCCGCAAGGGGCCTTGTATGCTTTGTTATCAATCGGTCCGCGATCTCCCCCCCTGAGGACAACAGTTCAACTTCGTCATCTTCATCCACGACTGTCGCTCTCAAATTCCTGGAACGAAGAGGAGAAGATTGTCTCTGATTTGAATACCGAACTCTTTCGCGTTCTCTGCTGTTCCTCTGGCGTGCATGGCGGATGTCGATATCTAAATCATCGTCGCTAGTGTCACTATACGAATAATAATTCTCTGAGATTCGGGGCTCCATAACAGAGACCGGTCTACGGTCGCCCCTTTCGATTCGAATGTCGGTGTAGTCGGCAACCCTCTCTGGCGATGTAGTATAGCGCCCCCAATGACTTATGTCTCGCTGTGGTAACACATTCCTTGAATTTGGTCTATAAATATCTTCTTCTGGCCGGGCAATTGCAGATGAACGATATCTGACTGGAGATGGATATCGCGATGCTATAGGCGTCATATGCCTTCCCCTTTCCGCTATGACTTCTGGTTCTCGATACCTGTTGGAATGGTAGGTCTCCTTTGGGGGTATTGTGTAGTCATCAACAGACGCGACGCGAACTGCAGGACTAGGGTAATGTTGTCCGCGGGGGGCTGCGTTGCTGTACATTGCTGGTAAATGGTTGATGTGCGAAGGTCGAGAGGTACTAGACATGCGTCTAGCAATAGACCGAGGCCGCACGCGCTCGCGCTCTTGCTTGGGGATTGACGAGCGTCGGTGCCGAGTATTAGAACCTTCGCTCGCGGCGGAGTCCGGGCTTCGACTTCTAGACCGTTCACCTCCCCTGGAGCCCACGAATATTACCCCAGGGGACTTTACCGACTTTTCCTCGTACTTGAGAATAATGTAAATGCCGTCAACATTAGGTTTTTCATCTTCAAGGTGGAACTTGAATGGTCCAATTTTGACTGATCTCCTAATTTCACTCTTCTCAGGAATGTCAATCAGCACTATAGACCAATCAAATAGATTTCCTCGCTCCTTCCGTTCCGTGACAAGATCATTGATCTGCTGGATTAGGTAAGGGGATAGTAAGGGCAGAACTTCCCACACCGGTTTGAATGATTTGGACTTTCTACGGCCTTTATAATAATCTTTTTCGGCTTCCATTAAGGCTTTGATCATCCAGGAATGCGGTAATGGTGCTGGAGTGCGCCCACCTCCTTGCAAACTTGTTGCCTCGGAGATATACCAGCTTTCGAGCCTAGCAAAACCGGTTTTTGTTGCTGGGTCCCGCCATGCCGAGGGCAGTGTGCTGGTGGTAGATATACTAGGCTCTACTTGTTTCTTTGAAACGAACTTCCCAACAATGTTCCTTTATCCCAAATTAGTAATCTGCATATTTCAAGTAGCAAGACAAGGGATTTCAAGATACCTGAAACTTAGGGTTCTAGACACCTTTTGAAAAGAGGCATTATTGCTCTCAATGGTCGTCGAAGTGGCCATCGGCGCCTTAGTAGGTTGTTCTTCAGATCCCTGAGCGACCTGCATGAGGAGAGCAGCATGGTTATGGTTCGTAGGATGCACATCCTCAACAATAAACTCAATCTGCTGCTGCGTCAAGCCTGGCCTCTCCCTGAGCTTCTTCTTCAACTCATCCCTCTTCTTCTGCACCTCAGCTTCGGCCTTCGCAGCCTTCTCTAAATACTCTTTAATTGCCTCCTGCTCGATTTTCTTCCTCGTCTCCTCTTCTGCTTCCTGCCTTTTCTTTTCTTCGGTCATCAAGAGTATCCGACTCTCCTCTTCTTCCTTCTCTGCTTCATTGTCCAAGAACCTCTCGAATGCCTTTTGCAGCTCTACTTTGAACTCATGTTCCATGTGCGGGTATCCAGACAGAGTCAATTTGCCAGTAGCATCAAAGAAGTCTGGTCTCCTGCGCCCCTCCCGAGCGTTCTTGACTCTCTTCGTATTCAATTTTCTGGCTTGGCTTAAACTCTGAATCGCCTCACGGTACTTTTTCTTCTCGGTCTCAGTCGATCTGTAAGACGTGATTAGTATATGAGCATTCCTGTGTCCCATCAGAACCTTACACAGTCCCAATCATATACGAGTTATGCGCCAAAATTATATTCAGCTTGACGCCCTGCAACTCATCCTTGCAAATCTGCAGTTCCGGTTTTAGTCTCGGCCACAGAGCCCTCTCAAACTTACTCAAATCAATCTCACTCCGGTCAACCACCTTCTTGTCCACTCCCTCCTTATCTTTCCAATTCGCCTTTCGCAACAGGCTCCTCAACTTGTTCACAATCCTCTCACAGTCCGCAATACACCTCTTAGCGAGCTCTAAGCCGTCATCATCCCACGCCCTAGTCTCCTTGTTCTTCTGGATAAGCGATTCTAGCCCACGTAAGTGAGAGAGCGTGGCATCGATCTCGCTTGAAAGGTTGGAGATGTCGTCGGGGGCGGCAGCGACAGACGCCACATATGTGTTAAGTGCATTCGCGAGACTAAGGCCTATTTCGACGACGGCGATGATAGCGCTGGCTTCGCCTATACCCGCTGCCATCGTTACGTGGCGCTGGATAGAAGGGGAGGAGTTAGCGACAATCAGGAGCCCGTGAAGGGTCTGTAGGTCTGGATTTGATATAATTATTGAGATGAGAGAAGGATGCCTAGGATCATCTCAGGTATACTCTATCTCAGCCCCGGATAATTTCGGCCCGTGCCCCACGGGATCTGCCGCTTGCTAATTAATCCGGAGATATCCCCTAAAGAAGCTCTAGCGCCATAGTGCTGTGGGGTAGCTCAAAAGGGACCCTCCTACTAGCCAGACCCCCCGTATTTATACGTTTACTTTTTGGGCGGGGGGTGGGGAGGGGTGTGCGGAGGTGGAGGAAGGGGAACCGAAGCATAATGTGGATTACCACTCCTATTGTTCTACTCTATCTTCAATCCAAGTGGAACAGGTGTTCCCCAATTTTTGTGCCGGCCGGTGGCTATCAGCTAGCTCTCCTTTGATCTTGGCTTTAACAATTGAAGCATACGTCCCTCAGGCTCTGCATATCCACTGCCACTTTTGACAAATCAGGGAAAAATACCTGATAATAGGAGCTCTTCAACTGAGTACATTGTAGACGCCGAGTCTAACTAACACTTAAAAACCGGCCTAAAACTTCTCACCAACCAATTCCTCAGACAAAGTCCAGAGCTTCCGCGCCTCTTCCGGATCACCGGCGTCTGGTCGCAAAGGCTGTGCAATCTGGCAATCCGAGAGGTAGGCGCCGTTGTGTTCTGTAGTGCCAGAGATTATTAGCAGGAGCTTGTTTGAAAGTAGGGCCAGGGGAGAGCGCGTACTAGCTATAGAGGGGTCAAAGGCCGCGACGAGGTGCGTCGAGACTCCTTGTTGTAGCGTCTTGAACTCGTAGTCAGGTTCACGCTCTCTCAAAGATTTGACTGCGGTATTGTTAGAAGAAGCCTTGTAATGTTAAGATTTTGAGAGGATGGCAAATTCTTAAGAGTGTAGAGGAAAAGGAAATGGGTGGACTTACTGAGATTCTCTAAATCTTCTTGGCTTAGGTGACGGAGGAGATTGGTATGGATTCCTGCGTTGTCTTAATGTCGTGTAGAATAATGGGCCTTGAATGGTTCAAAGGTAGAGATAGAGATACAGGGGGAAAGAGGGAAAAGGGCGCTTACCACCGGGGTGGAGACTAAAGGAAAGGATATTGCGGTCCTTCAAACGTTCGGCTAGCGCGATTGAGAAGAGCATATTCGCTGTCTTGACTTGGCCGTACGCAGCCCACTTCTCGTATTTGGTTCCGTTCTGTCGAATAGGGCATGTTGTCAGTGAGACAGAACTCAAAAGGGAGAAATGCGGAAGAAATACATACCGTGAAGCCGGGGTCATCAAATCTGACTGGGCCAAGTCTATGCCCACCACTCGACACATTCACAATCCGCCCACCACTCTTGATTTTATTGGCCTTCAATAGCAGGCAGGTGAATAAAAAGTGGCCAAGATGGCCTACTCCAAATTGACTCTCGAATCCATCTTTCGTCGTGCTATATGGAGCTGCCATCACTGCGGCGTTATTGATTAGCACGTCGATCGCCACGTCTTCCCATGATGCCACTTCGGCCGCTGCTTTTCGAACAGAAGCCAAAGAGTCGAGGTCCATGAGAAAGATGCGAGTCTTGACGGATGGAAAGGCGGCAGTAATCCTCTCAACGACTGGCTTGACACGCTCCTCGGCACGCCCGTGGAGGATCAGAAGAGCTGGAGAGGCTGAGGCGATAGAAAAGGCGGCTTCAGCGCCTAGTCCTCCTTCTCCGGCACCGGTTATGAGGACTAAGTAGTTGTTAGAAAATCTAGTCAGCTAGAAGAGGCTGGTAGAGCATGGACAGACCAGTCTTTCCCACGATGAGGTCCTTGAATCGGGAAGCTACTTCAAGGCCATCCGTGTGTTGGTTAAAACCATTGCTGTTCAAGATGGTTGAAGCAGACATTTTGATCTGTGTGTTCAGCTGAATGCGTAGGGAGTAATAATCAAGAGGTACTCTAATATCTTGAGCGTACGGAAAAGAAAGCTCAAGGCAGACGTTGACGCGGCCTATATATAGGTACCTTAGGGATAACAAGTATCTCTACCTAGCGGGGTTAAAATTTAACTCCGTGCAGTGGTTAACTCCGAATGACTGACAGATGATGCTTGTTCCTCAATCTTCCCTCGTATGAAAATCATGTTGTTTTATAATACCTAGGTAGCGTATCTGCGATCCATTGTTCGCCCTAAGGACTCTTGGAGTCTAGTGCTTCCTCATCGAAATAATGTAACGAGAGATGTGACAGCACCCCAGTCAATGCCTCTTTCCAGGGAAAGGAAAAGCTGCCAGCGTAATTATTTCTCGAATAAAAAGTTACGGTATGAAGTAGCATGTGGTGACTAACGTCGTGGTCAACCACTAATCCGTTGGCGTTTTTGCAGCAATGTAGTGCTGAAGGCCTAGAGCTTTTGATAAGTCGTAGAATGGTACAACATGCTTGAAGGGCTTCACACCTAGAAACTCAATGCCGTAGGTACAGACTCCAGTTATGGAGATGGCCTTCAGAAACAGGCGAAGGGCAAAACTGACTGATGCTGATGCCATAACTTGCTCCGATTGAATTGCTCCTGCTCATCATGCTCGGCTGCTTGTAACCAATTGTCCTCCTTTCACCCATTTGCTGAGGTTGAAACCCTGATATCACCCATTGCGGGACTAACGGGCGTGTGGGAACTCCTTATCTGAGTGGCCATCAAGATAAACGTCAGAGTCAGGTTCGGATTCCAAATCAAGAAAATGCAGACTTCTGAACTTCCTTGGCAGTTTCGACCAGTCTTGTCTTTCCTTTGGTCCTTGGACAATGAAAATATACCCTTTTCGGCTCAACTCTTCCGTCAACCCAGACATCCGCCATTGATAAGTAGCACTCAATTGATCTAACAATGCCAGAAAGCTAGAGCCAAGATCATCTTTAGCTTTTTTGGCATAGGCTTTCAGCTGCAAGATGATTGGTCGCAACAATGAAAAGTGTGGAGATAAACTCGTTCCATGAGTGCACTTGGTGATTCTATCCTAGATATTCGGCTTCTTAAAAAGGTCCGAAACTGTCTGATGCAAGAGCACAGCCGTGTGTCGGGGCCATGTTGGAGTATTTTGAACCATATAATTCAACCAATCCAGAGCACACACTTCTAAGCTTTCTGTCCATTACTTCGCGCCGATGAGGTGGCCGCTAATGTTGTTAATGCTTGGGCTAAAGTAATTGTTGCGGGTGACTTGTCCTCGTCTTCTGCCCAGAAAAGGTGCCGCAGCGTAATTTGGCGGCTCGTCGACTACTGAGCAACATGGACAATTTGAAATATTTGTGATGCCTGTTCCAGATAGAATAGATCGGATTCCTCTAGCATATAGTGGTATGAGGTCTCCAAATCAGCCGGGAGGTGCCGCAAAGGCCTTTCGAGGTCTGTTATCCGGTTCCGGTCTGATCGCCGAATCGAGCTGGGGATGGGCAATCGGATAAGATGGGATAAGAGTGACAAGGGCGATAACACGGGCACTACCCGGCACTATCTGCTCGTTTCGATTCCCCGTCCCGAAGAGACTCGGCCCGGCCCTTGCCATTTCTCTTCTCTATCCCTTGTATCGGCAGTCAACTCCAGAAAAAGCCGCGACATTCTTTTCACCATCAATCCCGATCGGTGGCCAAAGGGTATCTGGCTCTTGCGTCTAGGATAGAAATAGGGAATATCATCCGTAGATATAGACGGGCTGGTTATGAGAGCGCTGTATGTGTGTCGGTAGACATAGGTGAGGCCTACCAAAGACCCGGCTTCAGAGAATACTATTCGACTTTTGAAACAGGCCCTGGGACTTCTGCGGTCCAGGAAACCCTAGGCTCAGAAGCACTTGCGAAGACCGATATCCGATCGTACACCGGGAATTCCTGCTGCACCACACGGTATATTCTCAATTTATCCGAATGACAATACGTAGAGCATTGAGGCTTAATTCAGCTGGAAACTTTCACAATCTGCTCCACTTGGAGCTGTATTGTTTGGGCAATTGTTGTTTGCTATGAGAGGAGAGATTGATGGTCATTCTTTGGCCACGGACGGTATGCTGGCGAGAAACGGTCAGCTCTCCTATATCGATGACATTCTCTGGGAATTTGCTGCCACAGAAGGCATAGTGAGCGACCTTACAGCGAGGTGGACGTGTAGCTGTCATGCAGACAGATAGAATGTGGAAGATATTCCCGTATATTTGAATTCACTTGCCTTCTATTGGGTGCGTGTCAAAAAACAAGCGAGACAATGAATTTCAGCACAAAGAGATCATACACACGGGACTCTGCTAGTCTCACCGGGCTATTGAATAGCCACAATGATAATTTACAGAAGAAGAAGAAGATAAGAGAATTACATCAATAAAATAAACTCTCCTTCTAAACCCAATAGCCCCTGCTACTGCGTATCGTGCGGAGGAATGTCTGCCTTGCTGCCTGACGGAACCACGCTCGGCTGTGCTCGAGAAAAGCGATTTTCGTTCCTTTCTCCTCTCCCCTCCCTTCCTTGAATATACCACAACTGCCCCCCATCTTCTACCACACAGCAAATGAATATCGAAATAAGAAACGTGAATATTTTCTCCTTCAAAGTTCAGACATTTATGCGCACCGCGAAGACCCGACGGAAATTCTACCGGACCAATCGATCGCAGCTACGAGTTGATGCAGAGCGCCGACGCGGCGCACCATGAAGGACCCAACGCCTGCTTTGACGACTGTCCGGGGCTTCCATACTCCTGTCACTGAGTCGGGAGATGAAGACTCGGACTATGGATCTCGCACACAGTCGCCATCCAAGCATAGGATCGACGATGTGGTCAGCGCCAACAGCAGCCCCATGCTGCGCTCGACTGCTTCCCCCGGTATGGGAGGTATCAGCAAATTGAAGCTACAGCTCGATGCCTTGGATCGCGCCTCTCAGTCGAGTTCGTGCGGCAAGACACAGCTCCGCTCACCGCCACAGAGCACCGCCGGCACGTCTGACGGGTTCAGCGACGACGAGCAATCCGAAACTACGAGTTACGAAGTTCCCCTCGAACATGACTTCGTCTCCGAGAGTGTACGCGAGAAGCCGATGTACAAGGCCGTGGAAGGGGGTTTGGTGCAAGACCCAGTCGCGAGAAAGATGACCGCCGAGGACTTCCAACCTTTGCGCTGTCTGGGGAAGGGGACCTTTGGAACAGTCTTGCTTGTCAAGCAGCAGACTACGGGGCGGCTCTTTGCACAAAAACAGTTTAAGAAAGCTTCGTTGACCGTTCACAAACGCCTTGTCGAGCAAACCAAGACCGAGCGCACCATCCTCGAAAGCGTCAATCGTCACCCTTTCGTCGTGAAGCTTTTCTATGCCTTCCAGGACCACGAGAAGCTATACTTGATCCTCGAATATGCGCAAGGCGGGGAGCTATTCACACATTTGGCACAGGAACGCATGTTCTCGGAGGAAGTCGCCTCATTCTACATGGCCGAAATGGTTCTGGCACTCGAACATCTTCACCGCAACCTCGGGGTCGTATACCGTGATCTCAAACCTGAGAACTGTCTCCTAGACGCGGAAGGGCATCTCCTGCTCACCGATTTCGGGCTTTCAAAAGTCGCTGTGGATGAGAACGACAAATGCAATAGCATGCTCGGCACGGTTGAATATATGGCACCGGAGATTGTCCTGGGTCAGAAATATGGGATGGCGGTGGATTGGTGGTCGTTTGGCGCATTGGGGTTTGATCTTTTGACCGGAAGCCCGCCATTCGTGGGCCAGAACCACAAGAAGATCCAGGAGAAGATCGTGAAGCAGAAGCTTGTCATGCCGTACTTTTTGGGCCCCGACGCCAAAGATCTGCTCACTCGTCTTCTTCGAAAGGAGCCCGCGAAGAGACTAGGAGCCAATATGCCCAAGGATCTCCAGACGATCAAGAAACATCGCTTCTTCCGCAAGATCGACTGGAAGCGGCTCGCGAAGAGAGAAATCGAACCCCCGATCACACCCCTCATCACGGACCCGGAACTCGCAGAGAACTTCGCAACGGAATTCACCGAGCTGGCTGTGAGTCCTGTCACACACCAAAAGTCGCCATGGGGCTCCACGACGGCGGCGGGAAACGAGAATAATCCGTTTGGTGGCTTTAGTTACGTGGCGAGCCAGAGCTTGTTGGAGTCTAATGGATTCATGGCGATGGCGGGGAATGGCGAATTGACTGCCTAGATCCGGGCAAAAAAGCTAGGAAGAGGAGCACTCACGGTGACGGACGCTGTTGGCAGGGGAGTTTCTTGCTTGCTTACTGGGTGGGTGGGGTATTTTCGGATTGGGGTCTGTTAATAAAATACACATGGAGGGGTTCTGGAAAAACAAAAATTCGAACAAGAATCCCTATCTACACGAAAAAAACAGCATTGGCGTTCAGGAGGTATCAATCAATCATCAGGCTTAGACAAATCAAATCAGCAACGGATGGATAGGATTGCTATTCATCAAGGGAAGAATCGCGCATGTTTTTCAATTCTTCCTCTTTCTCTATAGACACCTTTTAGATAGAAGAAAAAGACAATAGATGGATTATTGCTTTTTTCCTACTCTGGTTGAGCTTAAGGCGGACACATCGTGATCCCTACCTACAACCTATGCGGGTAGGAAAGGTGGGGGGGGCTGTTGTTGTTCCTGGATCCAGGGGCCGCCCACGCAAGGAACTTTTTTCTCATACTGCATTACCAAAATCTATCCATCTAATTGATTCCAAGCGCAATAACGCAATCCAACAAATCCATGCACGAATAACAATAAATACTCCGTAACCACCACCCAAAAAAGCCCCGTTCCTTCTCACTTACCTTACCTACGAGACCTACTACTCCCCGCATCCCTCTCAATCATCCTCTCCTCTCTCTCCCACTTCCCAGCCCTCCTTGTCTTCTCCCCCCTTGCCTTCTGCCCCCTCGCTCCCTTCCTCTTGAGCAGCACACTCAGCGCATACACCAGCATCATCACCCCTGCCACCACGCCGAATGCGATCTCTCCACCCGTCGTGTTCTGCGACAGTTTCAAGCCCAGCCCGCCGTTGATGATCCCGCAGATGAGTGCTGCGCGCCCGAGCCAGATGTGCAGATGCGAGACTGGTGTGCGCCCGCCCGTTTGGAGGTATAGTCGGTGGTGCAGCAGGCCGCCGAGGGGCTGCAGGAGGAAGAGCACGGTGATGAGCGTGCCGAAGATGGTGTGTGCGCGGCCGGGGGATTTGTAGAGCTATCAGTCGAAAAAGTATTAGTTGAGAGGGAACTTTGTTCATCAAGTGAAGAAATCAATGTAGGGAGGGAGGTAGGTACAGGGGGGGGGGGGAGAGAGGGGAGGACTAACAAGGTCGGTCATCTGCGCGAGTTTGACACCGAGCCCGAACCCAGCAATCAGGGTGCAGGTACTGATGATCTGGATCAGGCTGTGCAGGACAGGCGATCCGACGACGCGCATGGCGAGGGCGCCGAGTGGGAATAGGAGCGCGACGGTCAGGCCCATGATCACACCGTGCGCTTTCTGGTAGTTGGGAATCCTCATGAAGTTATTCAAAATTTCCGGTGGTATCTCACTGCTGCTTCCGCTGGAGACGCCCCCCGAATTGCTAGACGCGGTCGGCGCCGCACTGCTGCTTCCGCTGGCGCCTCCCGAATTACTAGATCCGGTCGAGGAGATGAAGGGGTTGGAGTCGGAGGGGATTGAAGCAGTAGTGAGGTCGAACGTGAACTGGCGGGTCGAACCGTAGTCGTGCTGTTGGATGGAATACGATTCCGACGTGCTGTCTATGGCGGAGCCGCTCGACCTCCAGGCAGCGATCCATGGGGATTGAGTAGAGGTGGAGGTGGAGTCGAGTTGGCATGTCGTGCCTGCTGCTCATCAGTATTCATCCTATCTCCCGCATCTCAAAACACCGCTTCTCTAGGGACAGGGGTGGTATAGGAAGGGGCAAAACAGACATTTGACATTCGCCGTCATCATTCCCCCAGAGATCCCACTTCCCTCCAATAGGGTCACCCCCGACATACGAGTGCTGTTAAAGTCCGGCTGAACATGACCTTTCCCATCTCTGGGACTTATCGTCACGTTCCCGTTGCCATCAGAATACATGACGAAGATTGTCGCTCCGGACATCTGGGACCCGATGCCGAGTCCGACCCATTGGTACGTACTTGGTGCTTGCAGGGAGAAATAGACTGTCCCCGCTGACGTGGAAGAGATTGTGCTATCTAAAGGAAGGCCAACGGAGAAGGATGGTCCCCCTGAGACTGCGCTATATGTTGCAAGAGAGAAGGCTGTGCGGGCTAGAAGACCAGAGTTAGTAAATAAAGTGGAGGAAGAAGGGGAGAGGAATAGGGCATACCAAGGCTAAAAGCCGCGAGGATTGATGAAGAGAATGCCTTCATCTTCGGCGTCTATTGTTATTGACCAACGGAGGAAGATGCAAATATGGAGAATTTATCAAGACAAAGGGGGAGCAGGGCATTAATACCACGGCTCTGGTCTCTGGGAACATCCCGCTGCATGATAAAGAGGTCCCAACAAGTACTCAACTAGCCGTGTCGCTCACTCACGGAGGTCCGTCATGTTGCACGAGCACAGATGAACAAACGATTCCCAGCCCCCTTCAGTCGTGTACCGAACGCGCATTCCCAGAGGCATCCCACAGCCAGTCCAGTAAAAGGTAATTGATGATTGGTTACCTCAGTCCTCTGTGGAATGTCTGTTGAGAAACAAAGCAACCAGTTCTGTCCTCTCTTTATCCAGTTCAGGGATAACGATATCTCACCGTAATGTTTCAGTGTTTATAGGGATGTACAATCCACGCAAGACATGCATGCACGCGTACGTACATACATATATACATACATACAACCCATAGACACAGCCACATATATGTAGACGACGCGTATGCTCTATCGGATCCGCGTCCGCGACCACGCTCTTCTCCAGCTGGCTCACCGCTCTCGGGGTCCTTTGGTGATAACTGTATCACCTCTGATCAACGCGTCTCGGCACTCAGTATATGGGAAAAAAAGAAAGCTCATGGCCAGCCCAATCGGAGACTTGCCCGTTTCCCGGACTTGAGAGCCATCGCAAATGCCGGACGGGCGAGCGACCGTGCATAGGAACACTTGTACCACTGTCACTGTCACTGTCTTTGTACCATTATGATCCGACAAGTCTCGAGCCCAGAGCGAAGACACGAGGATGATGGAGAGAAGAAGAGAGGAAGTACAGTGTAATACAATGTAATGCGCAAAGCGGAGAATCAGAAAGCAACGCGCAATTCAAGAGAGAAGGGCCACGTAGGGCACCGATATCGACGGATCATATAGCGATCGATGGCTCTGATTCGGGTCTCCAGGAAGACGTCCAAAGCTTCGTGTTGTCGAGATATCGAGAGAAGAGAGAACTGGAGAATTGGTCTGGAGGAGTGGGGTAGGGCGGCACGTGCTGCCTCCCCCCCACAGACTTTTTGTGGGAAAAATGGAAAGAAAAGAAAAAAACAGCACGGAAAAAAAGAGATAAAAAGAAAAAGAAAAAGGCCGAAGGAAAAAAAGGAAAAGGAAAAAGGAAAAAAAAAGTATAGATAACAAAAAAAACAAAAACCCAAAAAATTTATTGATCAAACGCCGATGGAATCCAACCATCTAACATCTTCAATCCAAGAATCGCTCTTGGCGGTGCTGGGAATCGAACCCAGATTGAAACGGATCAGTGTGAATAAATTCCCGCGGGGGAATTCCACAACGTCACGTGCTACCATTACACCACACCACCCGTCGCCCGTTGTTGTTGGGGCCGGCTGTTTTTATTTCCAGATGCTGAGTTCGGCTTCAAAAACCTTGCGCAGAGATGGGTGGGATTGGAAGGCTAACTCTCTCGAGGGTTAGAGGGGAGCGTTTGTGACGTATAGGTACGTAGTAGAGAACTTTTCGTGTGCTATATGGGGTCTTTGATGGGTGGGTGAATGGGACGAGGTTTTACTATATCCTGTGATGTCTTAAGGTAGATGCTCTTTTACCTGAATACCTTGGTTCAAAGGCCCCCGATCATCCAGGCTTACTGTTATGCAGGAAGGGAAGGGAGAGGGAAGCAAGATGACTACATATACGTTCAGCTTTACGGTTTTTCAACGTCCCAGGTAGGTATACACGGGTGGACCCCTCGATCAAGTACATTCACAACAAAGACCAAAGCTTCAAGTATTTATGTTTATTCCAAACGAGGACTGCTCAAAAACGCCTACAAGTATCGTCATGTGTATCGTGAGTTTTCTTTCTTCCCAGACGCCAGGATCAGTATGTTCGAGCAACCGCGCAAGTCCGTCATCAGCATACAGCTCTGTCATTCAGTCCGTTGGTCCACCTCCGATACCTTCATACCATGCGAAGCCAAACCAGAATGTTGAAAAGAACCGCTGCCCCCAACATTTTGCGCTCAGACGAAAACAGGAGATTCAAGTTTGAGAGTACGAGACAGCGTACTGCAACCAAACGAATCCAGTGAATCCATCAGAATCTCTAACATGCGCCACACGATATATAAAAGGCAAGCAACGAGAGCGTCTATCGCTTTTGTTGTCACTTTTTAAACAAATGCAGACGTGATTTTTCTCTAGCCATCAAACCCACAAGACGAAACAGGCAAGGAAAATGTACTGCAAGGAAAGTCCAGGGCCAGGGATGACATCTTGACGTGGCGAGATGTCATGCCGTCCTCAGGCGTGTTGTTTTGAATTAGGTAATTAAGTGATTAACACTTTGAGTTCGTGAACCCAGACATCGAGTCTGACAGAGGTCATGTCACGTTGCTCAAATCAGAAGTGTTAGATCTCAGAACTCATTCTCGCTCTTGATCCTCTTATGGCCCCTCTGCTCCCCACTGAACTTCCGCTTGCTCGCAAGACCAGCGAGTGGGCTGGAATCTATAGGCGGAAGCTTCTGTTTGCGCATCGGCGTGATAGGCGTTGCCGCATGGGCTATCCGGCCATCTTTGATGCCGCGTAGAGTAGTAGCAGAGTATGGTCCAGCAAAGACGAGAGAATCCATAGTGGCGTTGTGACGAGTCATGAGTTTGTGCTTGTGTTGGTTCTTGCGGAAGGCTCCAACGAGGTCAGGATTCAGGAGCAGGTGATGGGGTTGATCTTCGCTGGTGGCAGTCGTGGGGCGGGGTGTATCTCCGGCGGCGGATATGTTTTCGTCTGCTTCTGCACCACCATCATCTGAGCTTTCCTCCCCGAAGTTGATGAAGTCCTCGACGTTCCACAGATCTTCATCGTCGAGGTCGTCTTCATCGAAAGAAGACGGACTGTCTTGAGTGATGTCGCCATTAGCATTGATGCTAGTGAAAGGGTAGAAAGCTTCGGGTGGACCCAGCGCTTGACCGCCGAGATTACCCATATATGAATCCAGAGGAGTGTACATTGCACTCATCATTAGATTGGCTGAGTTGCTGATCATGGGTGACATCTGATCCATTGATAAATCGGCATCGCTTCCGTGCACAGGACTGGTCTGAGGTCGTGGTTCGCTGTGGCTGTGGCTGAATCGGCGGTTGACTCTTGCCTTGAACATGAATAGACGACTGCCGTCAGTGTTAATGACCGCGAAGGGTCGACTGGCATTGTGGACCCAAGAACCAAGTCTTGGACCACGTCCAGCTCGAGGAGGGGCTCGACGAGTGACAGTGATCTCTTCCTCGGATTCGGAATCCGGTGATTGGCGTCGAAGCACGGACCGTGGATGTAGAAACTTCTCCCGGACATTTTCAGGCGGATCTTCCTCTTCAGTGGTTTCGCCCTCGTCAGCTATGTCATGGTTAGCATTTACAATAGATATCCTCGTTCAAGCCAACCCACTTTCATAGCCACTCGAGCCTGTTGATTCCCCATCATCGCTTTCTTCATCTTCCTCGGGTTGATTAAGCTTATCCCCGTCAAAATCCCAATACGATCCATCTTCACTCGATGGATTCTGCTCGTCTTCATCATTCTCTATCCGTCGGCGAAAAGAGGGAGCAAGGCTGTCTTGGTCCATAAATAAATCGGGGTAAAGATCGTCATCATCATCCGAGGCAGTCGACGAACTACTATCAGACAAATTAAAACGAACACGTCGAGGCCCAGGGTCATCATCAGATTGGATGTTGGTCGAGGCCCATACAGTTGCCTCAGTGTCGTAGTCGGGAGCATGCATGCGGGCCATATGGTCATCGAAGAAAGGTTCGTCGCCAAGCACATCTTGGCCGGAATCGGCGCCAAAACCGTCCCAACTGCTGCCATCATCTTCTATCGAGGGCCGAGGAGTAGAGAGCGAATCGTCGTCATCAAAGTCTTCCGCCGATTCAATAATTGCCTGCTCCTCGACCTCCTCGACATCCGGCTCGTCTTCCTCCGAATCAGATATGAGATCCACCCCAGCGTAATCATCATCGGAGGAATTGTCCGTCGTATGGGACCTAGACCTCGCCGGTTTCTTGGTCGAGGAGGAATTGGACTTGTGTCGAATGTTTCGAGACATTGCGAGTATGCCTATATTGCAATATGGGTATAATGGAGGGGTTTGGGGGGGTGGGGAGGAATTGGCGGTGAGCCGAGCGAGTCCAAAGGACAGGAGTTGCAAGTTTCGAAGGCGGAGTAAAATGTTCAGGCTGACGCTTCTCGTCAAGTGCGGTATCAATTGATATTATCGAGATATACAAGGACGCAGTATCTATCGTTGGGGACTCGGGGCTCGAGTATCCGGAGGGGGGTAGAATGGAATCTCAGCTCGCGGATGGAGTCTCGCTCTGGATCACCAAGAGCGCAACTCGATCAGTATATTGTTGTAGTAGACAGGCTCCCAAGTACAGGCCAGGGACGGCTTGAGACAAGAAGAGTCTGGTGCTTCGTCAAGGTCAACAGATGATTGAAAGTCTCGTTGGGCTGAAGGACTACGGACATGCTCCACGGGAGCATGCCCGCAGTGGGCGTTCACAGCTCAGCGATAACCTGCGGCATGATTCTCGACGAAGGGGTATAGAAGGCTGAGCTCGGTGAATCCTGTAGTAGGTAGGGCGACTTCGTTGTCTTTTTGGGGGGGAGTGGTTGAGGTTTGGGATGAAGGCAAAGAAGAGAGAGGAAGAGGAGGGGGGGGGCTCTGCGCGTGGAGTTCAGATATTAAATTTTTCGCTTAGCCTTTTTGCGCTGGGCTGCCCGCATTTTGGCACGGCCTGGTCGAGCGTTGACACAACTACTCGACATGGCCCATCCTCCCAAACGGGGCGCGCCCCATGATTCGCTCAAGGCCTCCTCACCGCTATTGTCCAGGTTCTACGGGATGCGCTGGGCACGCAAAGTGGCGGGTTTCGGGGGACTCTACTGCGCTGCTGGCGCGCTGGTACTCGTTGCAGAGTTGCAGAGCGTCAAGAGGATCCGCAGGCTATTCTGGGGGCGATGGGGGGGAACAATGGGGGGAACAATAGAGGGGGCAGATATCACATATCACTGTTCTGAAGCCCTGCGCTGAAGGAATTGCCCTGAGGAAATCTTCGCAGGGGCTTCAGATGGGGCTCTACAACTACAGGACAAACCCGACAAGTGGGCGGTTCTGAGCCTCAGGGGCCCCACCGAAAGAAGATCCTTCGTATCCTTCCAAGTTCCAACTTACTTACGTTGTCAACTTGTCCTCTTCTCTCTCCCTCCAGAGTCCAAGCGGATCGCCTCTTCCATTTGCCCCTTTTCCTTTCTGTTTTCTCTCTCTTCTCTTTTCCCCTTCTCTCTCCTCTCTCCTCTCTCCTCTCTTCCTTTCCTCTGTTCTCTCTACTACTCGGCCAGAGTTTGGGCCCGCTATCTCTCGCCCCCCTTCTCAAGTCTGGGAATGACACAACACACGACATCACGTTCTAGCCCGTTGTCCAGGCCGCCACTGCGGCTGAGAGAGTTCGAGCCTTCGAAGAGCCAGAGCCAGGTGTCACTGGACACGGACAGTCCTCCCGCTGCGAACTTTGGTCCAGTATGACGCACAGCGAACACTCATTCGGGGCCCAGAACCCACAGTCATAGGAAAATCCAGATGACTCCTCGGATTCGCCCGTCCTCGTCCGCAAAACTCTACTTGGCCTCTTCTATCGCATCAGATCTCCAGCCGCAGAATCCAGAATCCAAAAACAGAATCCAGGTCGTGATAGCCCCCAGGACCTTTCCCAGAATCCTAGTAATCCCGAGGTAATTTTCGCTTTCTGCCGCTTGTTAAATCCTCACCGCTCACGCCATGGCGGGGCGATTGTGGCTACTTTTAGCCTTTATCACTTTACCCTGTTCAACCTGTTCTTAACCCTGCGCCCCCCGTTTCAAAAATAATCCTGAAATCGCCGAAATCTTCTTCCTCTACGGAGTAAAAACGGGCCGCCTAACCACCCGTCTGTCTTCCTCCTGAAGCTTCGTCCTCGATCCTCACTTCGCCGGTACAGGAAGCAAAGATGTCCAAGTACAGATTATATTATGGCTACGAGTGATCCCATAATCATGCCTTCAACCATTTCTCTTACTTTCTCTTATATAAGGTATTCTCTTATGAGCATTCCGTATGACTGTACTCGAACCTTTTTTCCCGCCTCCTCGGATCACTCCCGTCGCTTCTTGCCCCGCCCCACGGTTTTTGTTCCGCAAGCGCAATGTTCTAGCCTGTATGGGTTCAGGGCGCCAAAGTTTGCTTTACTTTGAACTTGAGCCTCGGTTTCCAGACCACAACAGAAAACCAAGTAGTGGCAAACTATCTCAGAACCAAAGAGGGAACTGGAAGAAAGGAGCAGGCAGCTTGAGTACGGGCGCAGCAGTTGGAATCAGTTGCCTGATACCGAGCAGTATATTGCTGACCTCCGGTATTGGGGTGCTTATTGAAGACGTGGATTGATATACCAGTTCACTCAGTAGGTAAGTGAAGGATATCCAAAAAAGATGTAACTGAATACAACAGTCCTGGGAATGGCCAAATACAGGAGACAAGTCTTCTCCTCTTCAGAATCCATTTCCGAACTGTTCATGATGCTGTATAATACATCCTTAAGAACCCAGGACACAGAGACACACTTCTTCTGCCATTCATGAAATAACCCAAGGCCAGGCAAGAAGCCACCACGATAGCATTTTGAGGATCGATCCACTTCTTTCCAACTGTTTATTCCATCGCGATACCCGTACATACATTCATGGTACACAATTTTCAAATACACAGGGCCGATAGAACCTTGATCAAGTGACGAGGTCAGGAAGAGCACTAGACAGAAAAATTCAGGGTAAAACAAGTGCGCTCTACGGCATCGAAAAAAATCGTACAAGGTAAATGAATGACTGATTTTGTCATAACAGCCAAAGAACACGGCGAGTGAGAGCTCGAGGCTTGTTTGTGTATGAAACTTATTTGGAAGTAGGCTGGCTAGTTTGGCAATCACTTCCTCCTGGTAAATAAGTCTCCAGATAATAAATATACTTGATGACGCGGCTGGCACATGGCTCCCTCAGACAAGGGAATGAGTTGAGTGAGAGCCGATCAGTTTACCAGTGTATATCTTATATTGATGCGTGTCTCGTGACAAGATCTAAAGCATGACTGCCCCTCGTCTCGCGTACCTAGCAACTAATTTCCAAGTAACTTTCACATCACAGGGCCAGAAATATGGAGAAATATGAAGATAGGTATGATCAAAGATTTCATAAGATTTCATTTCAATATCATTAAACGTTATGAGGCTCCATATAAGATTGCCTCTCATCACTTCCATAAAGCCCGGGAATCAATTCGTATGCCACGTCCCAACATCAGACAGATGCCCCCAAAATCACGAACCCAAAAGTCATCACTCCCAATAATCCTCAAGAATACCCTGCTCTCATTTCAAAGAAGTTCGTTCATGTGTAAACGATCTTGACCTCCGAAGAGCTAGGGATCGTCGTATCAGTCAAGATGTTGCCGTCCGAATCCTCAATATCGAGGATTGTCGCACCCGAAGTACCCTCGGACGTGCTCCCTGTCGACGCGACACAGTCGGTAAAGAGGACGGTGCCGAAATCAGCAAAGGCAACTTGCGAGCCACCCTCGTCGAAGTCCTCCACGATCCACTCGGCGTTCTGGCCCCCGAGCTTGGCTGATGAGGAGGGCGCGCTGACGGATTGCGTGACAGACTGGCCCGTAGAGAGGTTCTCTAGCACCACAGTGCCCCTTGTGGAGCTGCTGGACTTGATGGAGACGCTGATAACGTCGCCGGCGCTGAAGGAGAAGGAACTGGTGCTGAAGTCGATGGCGTAGTTCGGGTACCATTCGTACCACGCATCGTAGGAGTACGAGTCGCTGCCGTCGATAGTGATGTCGACACCGGCCTGGAGAATGGCATTTCCATATGTGTCACCGTCGATGCCGACCCAGATCGCAGCCGAGTAGGAGCCGCCGTCTCCGCCGGGTGGTGCAGATGGGGTTGGGACAGTGAACTGGCCGGAAACGGCATTGAAGGTTTCGCCAGCTGGAGGAGCGGTCAGAACACCCCCTGCCCAGTTCGAGCTGTATTCGACATGAGTGGCATTGCCATCCTTGATAGCCTCCGCGACACCGAGAACATTGGCTACGTTGGAAAGACGCCCTGCTCGGTTTGCTACACGTCGGGCAAGACCATGGCCGCCACGGGGTGCCGCAAGGACGGATGCTGCAAAGAGAACGCTGCTGAGTATGGATGCCTTCATGGTGGGCAGCGGTGATGATTCGAGGTTGAGATTGAGGTTGAGCCTGGCTGATGAGGATGGTAAGACAATATCAGAAAGACTTGAGATTGGAAGGGCTTCTTGGGCTGAACTTTATAGAAATCTGGCTCAGGCGTCAAATGACCAAGGGATATCAAAGACTGCCAGGTCGTGAACGTGATAACAGAAAAGGGAAGGAGTTAAGCAATTGCACAGTTCTGCACCTCTACTTGTATATGCCAGGGATTAGGACATGTAGGCAGGGTGGCTGAACCCCTCTGTAGCGATAGAAGGCAGATGGCCATGTTCTGGAGCTATGCGGGACGATCGTGTTTCCCAGACCCCTCAAAGAACGGACGACGTGCACCCAGTCGCTTGATGCTCGGGAGGCAGGAGTCAGGACAGAACTTGTCACTTGCGCAGAAGGTAGTATTGATCAGCGGATTAGGGTTTAGACAGTCGTGATGCCATGCTGCCCGGCGATAACGATAGTGCCTTTGGACAGCCCCTCCAGCCCTCCTTTTGCGCGGTGATTGGGTCCGGCCCTGACATAGCGGCGGGGGACCAGAATATCAACTTCTCGAACGAGTAGGTAATGTTCCTGGAGGCCTGGCTAGAGAGTTGATACCTCACCACGGCGGTGCGAGTCAATCATTCGGCAGGGACCAGCCACCAGGGATCTGGTTGCACAGACTTCCGCTGACTGCGACAGCATACAGTTCACCACGGGATGCAATGCATCATGCGAGAGATGGCCCCGACGTTCCGCTGAAGGAACAATGAGGCTTCCTTGCGTCGCGGAGAAACAGAGCAAGACATATTATGATGGTGGCGCAACGGGATGAGAGCAGTGGCGCTGTGGTATAACGTAAGACCGGGAGAGGCGTCTGCTCCCCAGATTTCCGAATGCTGAGTGCGGCGTCCTGAACTGCGGTGGTTGTTGTAACCACAGAATTGGTTTCCTGCCTCTTCTCGGCGCTGGGCAGCGCGAGTCTAGACCCAGAGCCCAGCCGATCTCCAGACCTCCAGACCTCTGGTTGTACTGTGGCTCTTCATTCAGACAGACTTCTGCCCTCCAGGAAAGGAAGTTGGGACGCCATTCACCTCACTATCACTAGACTATTTCCGGGTGTCGCCGAGGAATCCCAGCAGGTTGGCCCGCGACTCGACGCTTCGGTCAGGGATGTTCGCATTACTCCGTATGCGTAATGTTTATATCTTTATATCCGTGGTTCATGCACTATAGACGAATCAGCAAACCTTGCTAGAACAAAGATTACAGCCTCTTCCTCTGAATATCCTTTGTAAGAACCTCATGCAGGATATACCTGCTTCATTTGAAGTTCCAAAGCCAACACTCTGTTTGATGTACCACATCGCGTTGATGGATCTTGGCTACTATACCTTCTTCCCATATAGTTCGAGACATCCAGAGCGATAGCGCCAGATTAACGAGTCGTGCGCATGAAGTCGCTTACGGAGTTCCTGGGACTGGCTCGTTCGTTGCTGGAACAATGTACAAATGCTGCACGTTACCCCACTCACCTTATCACCGTACATGGTTCTGTACATGGTTCTGTACATAAGACAGAAACATAAGACATCGGACAAGGTCTTCCTCCGCTGCGGAACATAACCTTTCTGACGACAATTTGAAAGACATGAAATACGTACGGATCACCCGAGGTTCACCGCGGCCAAGATACTGGCAGAGAACTCCGTGTGTTTTCAGCTCCCGTGTTGGTTTGAGTACTGTACCTAGATTCAAATGCCGCCTATATGCCGCTTCTTGGCGTTTCTAGCCAAGTAATATAAAGCGATCCGGCGGGGTAGCATCGTAAGCCACAAGACGGAATAACAGGTCTGATATGGAAAACCATTCTCCAGGGTACTTTTCGTCTGGCGCATAAGAGTTCATGGCAGTTGTCGGCCCGTGCATGATATCGTGTATACCATTCCGCCGGTTCCCAGCGATAGGCAGTCCGGATCTACAGCACCGACAAGATAAGGATTACATGTCAAAAGCTGTGGTGCTTGCTGAACATATTCGTCCCTAGACACCCCTTGTCTCTTGTTCCTTGGCTTTCCTTCGTCCTCTGTACTACTGTACCGTGCTGCACAGATGCTCATGTCGACTTTGGCACTTGGGATGGCGTCGCCGGGCGCTGATGTCCGTTTGTGGAAGCTGAGGGAGCAGGCGGACATGTCATGTAACTTATACGGCTCATGACATTGACCAGCATCCCTGGAGATGTGGCTGATGCTAATTCTAGTGCCGAGTCTCGACTTCAACTTCACCACTTGGCCAGTGCCCCCCTCGAGCATGTCGGGTAACCTAGATCGTGGAACGGAAGGTGATGAACACTGGCACAAGGTACAACGCCACCTACAGATGCGATGTGCTGACGTATCTGCGTGTTGGCGGTGAAGAAAGGCGCCTACCTGCTTCTTAGGGGTTTATCCTCCCGATGGCTGCTGCAGTAGCAATATTGGGCTCATTCTTGCTCATTACATACCGCCAATATGTGCTGCATCTCATCAGAGTATGGCAATAACATGATGCCATCTGGAATATCCCACGGGTGGCGGTCCGTGCCGTTTCAACCGTTAGAAATGGCCATTTCTGGGACATTGAAATTCCCTCCTCGACATTTGCCAGTTATCGAAGGCTTCTCCGAAGACAGATGTCTAACCACCATACCCTTCTATATTACTCCTCTTTCCGTCATTTTCTGTACTCGAACAACATCACAACTTTTCTTGCTGAAGACGGGCATTGTTCTAGGAATCGCTGAATTCAAAAGAAAGGTCGCCAGTGAAAGTTTTAGATTCTGGAGCGGCTAGGCATCAGCTCAAATGTTGTCCAAAACTCACGAGAATCATAACATCTTCCCAGCTGCTCCATCGATCTCGGCAAGGCCTTGATGTGATTGTCAGCCATCAATTCTCTGATCCACTCGATCTGCGGAGGCTTCTCATTCTTCTCTGAGTCTTCTCCACAGAAGCCGAGGATTAAGGCCCACCAGTCGTGAACCAGAAGATCGGTCAACATCTATGAGAAAATCAATCAGTGGTGAGGCGCAAAAAAAGATGGGATGATACAGACAAATCTCTGGCCCATCGCCCGGCTAAAGTTGCGATGGACAGCCACAATAGCTCTCGCAACATCGTGCCCGTGAATCAGATGAAGAGAGGTCTTCTCCTTGAGTTTCTCCTTCGTCGACGCGACCCGGTCGATCCAGTTTCGGGGCTGTCTGGCACCGCCCCACAAGCCTGAAAGATTCAGTACACACCCACCGAGCTGTAGCAGCTCATCCTCAGCAATCGCTCTCGCATTCGATTTATCGTATCGCGAGTGTCTCGTGACCCAGAGATCCTGATTCGGAATGGTGAAGATGCCGGTACTCCCGAGTTGGACGAACTGATACGGAGCATTATCTGGATTGTGAGTTTCAACATATGAGTTGTAGAGGTGTGTAGACTGATGCTCTCCTCTCAAAGGAAAGGTGATTAGCACGGTTTTGGCGGTGGGAAGCGCTGCATATTGCTCTTGGTTATCCTTCTCGTTCTTCTCACTACCCTCAAACCGGAATTTGTAAGTCCCGTCCCGACCGGTAGTGGTGGTAGCTGCGTAAGAAATCCCCTCTTTTTCCAGCAGAGGTATCAGAAATGTCGAGGTCCACCCCGCCCCTAGGATAAGGAGATCGAGCTTTGTAGGTGCCTTGCACCGAGTGGTGTTAGCCTCTCGGAGAAGGTAGTGACAATGAGACTTACCATTGCTGTAAGTAAGTAGCTAGCTGATGTCAAACAGTAGACGAAAACACATTAACTAGATATAGAGAGAAGTCCGCCGCGAAGATGTATATGAGAAGAAGTCAAGATCCACCACCGCATCTAGGTAGGTAGTGTGCGACGCCCTAGTGTTGTCAGCGGATTTAGCGAGAGAGTGTGTGGATCATCCCCCGCCTCGCCTCCCGCCCCCCTTTTATTCTGACTTTTACCAGGAAAATAGAGGAGGTTTGCAAGAACTACGAGGAACATTTTTAAACTTCAGCCCTCGGATGTTTCATCATCTTAAATGCAAAACCTGGAAAATTTCCTTGGCCCTGCATCCTGTATGCTATGACACTACGGAGTAATAGATAACATAAATCTGAGTTATGAAGAGGGTAATAAAGATATAGGGAAAAGATGAAGAAGAGCAAACCTACATACCTTACCTCCCACATACTGAATAGGTCATAAAAAACCCACAAAGCACCAAAATTTTAGAGCACATCAGAAAGGACAGTAAAAATGAGGTGGCCGAATCTCTTATTATCTATTGCCAGCCACGCGGGCTAAGTTAAGCTATCCACTAGGGATCTCTACAAGCACGACCATCAAGATCATGAACTTCGCTACAGCATCACCATGCATCCTATCAGAGAAAAAGGAGATCTGTTGTGGGGGTCGTGGACCAAGTATTGAGTGAGGCTGGGTTTCCTGATTTTCCACTGGGGTTGCAACTTGTCTGGGGCCTATACGTCTGTTAGTCAGGGTTACTTTCTACCAATGGCTACAGGGATCGATAGCTCAATTTGAAAATTGGGGTAGTAGAGGGAAACCGAGAAGGGAATGAACCCAGGAATAGTCTCGCTCGAACAACGCAAATCGCAACGCAAACCATCCTCCCGTTTCTAATTTCTCCGGAAATCAGATTTCCATTCCAAGACCAGAAACGACAAAGCAAGTGGTATTAAGAATGAGTAGAGGAGATGTTCTGTTTTCAAAGTTAGCTATCTGTACCATTAAGTACCATTGGCTCGGAAGCCTTCAGATCCTCCTACTCCATCTTTTGAGGACGCCAATCCCGAACCGGGGAGATGGAGAGGGATGATATCAAGTACGAACCTCGTGTACCATCAAAAAGGCGGCCAACCTCATGCACTTGACGTGCGAAGTGAATGGAGTTGTGTGCAAGCAACGCAAGGTCTCCATATCAAAGGTTCCAATCTGATGGAGATTTAATCGCCCTCAAAATCAACAAAACGCCCAAAGCTGGACCCGATGAAGCGTCTTAGTATGCAACCTTAGATTGTCTTGGGGCTATGAGAGTTTCTGTGAGTATCATTAGTTCTGCCAGGTTTTCGTTGTAATCACGAGCATGTCGCCGAGGCGGAAGCCAGACAGATCACTGGTGATGGACGTACCCCATTTCCACAATGTCATCAACATGGTTACACAGCGCGACAAAGAGATCAAAGAAAAGTTTGCCCCCACTCTCCATCTCTAACTGCATGGTTCCGCTCCGCTTAAATGTCTTACGACATCTAATGATCAGCGCCAGATAATGAGCGCGGAGCCGCGAATCTGAGTCCGGCGTGTGGTCATACGCATACCGCGCAGAGCGCAGAATCGTTGCAACCTCGATACCGCTTTGCAGACCTTGCTTTCTGAGGGCAAGGCGCTTGAGCTCTTCCAGGCCGTACTTCTCTGCTGCGCAGTATATGACCGTGTCCTTCAAGAGGTATTCGCCCACGGCCGAGATATAAATTGTTGCTTCGACGGATCCGCGACCACCGGAAGGGTTTTGGGGGTTGGGGGAGTTTACTGCTGCGTCTTCGAGTTCCCAAGAGTTGCGGCGCTTGCTGTGCAACAAGCGGGGGTAGTAGTCACCCTTCTATACGATCCCCGAAATATTAGCGTTCATCAAAACCAGGTTTGAAGAGCGGAATAAGGAGGGGAGACATACGTAAAGGTACTCCAAGACGCATGAGAAGATCTCCGGTTCTTCGTCCGGCAGATCAATCCTCTTGCTCTGCGCAAGAAGCTGGCTTCTACAGGCCGCCTCGAAAAAAGGCGATTGCACAAGCACATCCTCGTGCGCCGCAAACAGTCGTCCTTCCTTTCCTATCGTAAAGGTCACGATAGGGCTGGTGAGGGAGCCAACATCGCTCGCAGTTGGCGGGCTGCGAGGGTGCTGCGGAGGGGCCTCAAACGACCGCTGCAATTTCGATAACTTGGCGGGATCTCGATAATACGATTTCTTCAACTTGACAGCCTGCGATTTCTCCACGCGGTCGTTCGATCGGAATGAACGCTTGAACATCGACATGACTGCTGTGGGGTTCCCTCTCTTGACTGCTGGAGAAGGAATCTGAAGGATGGTATCGAGATAGGTGTGTCTTGAACGAGCGACGAAAAGAGTGTAAGGACCAATCGCAAAAAGAAGTGACGCACAGAGAAAGAGATTGACAGGGCCCAGGAAGAAAGTCTCTAGGATTTCAACGAAAGTCTAGAGATTCTTGTGTGTAGATTTGCGACCCGATGGTGTGGTGAAGAAGAAGAGAAAAGAAGAGAACGCGCGCGCGCGGGGGACATCGACTCTTATTATACCTTAAGGTAACAAACAGGCAGCACACATGATGGCGTCCTGCAGGACTGCCTTGCTGAAGCACCACGTGATGCGCGTCTATTGGGCAACGGGAGAGGCATCCCGATATCAAGGGCAATTGTACGTTGCTATTCGTCCTTTGATATCGCAGACATGCGTCAGAGTCATTTTTACTTGCTGGTGAAGGTGTGCCTGCTGCGGAAACTTGCCCGAGCAGTCTTGAGGTTTTGTACTGGACGGCCCTATCAAGGCGCAGCACGCAGCGAATCAGAGGGCAAAGCCGATGATGACTGCCATTGGTAGGGAACACTTGGATTGAGCATCCGAGTGTGAGCGGTTGGTACTGGCATGTGGTACATCAATGACATGGTAAACATACTGGACAACCACCAAACCGCCCCGAAATGCAGGTACTGACTGGTTCATAAGAGACTCGCACGCCCGGATCCAACTGTATGCTTCGTGTCCTCCTGCACCTCCTGCTGCATCGGTATTTAGTAGTACCTCGTGTTTGCGCAGCTTTCTGTGCTGCGCCGTTCAGACTCGAATCTCTTCCCTGCCTCTCGCGTGTATTCCTCGTGTCGTGTCTTCATGTTCAGCCGCCTGTTCCTGACTGAGCACGCTCGGTATGCTGGCCGGCGAGATGTTGATTTTTGGCCTTGCAACGGGGGATTACCGGTACGTGGCTTCTTTATTGCCTGCCGTCTTGAATACTCTTGTGGCTTGCCCAGGGCGATGAGGCGTCAAAGAATGGCGCGAAGGAAGAAGATCGGCCACGGCACTGTCTTCCCGAGAAGGATTGGACAATGACGGCAGAAAGAAGGCCTTCAATGCCGCGAATGCCATCAATAATGTCCCAAGCATGACAACGGGCGTGCCAGAAAAGTCAGCACAGTCTTCTTGAAGGTTAGAGGCGAGTCAATGAATAACACTGGCCTCCTGGCTCTCACCCCGCGACTTGGCAACTCGGCCCCGCGCTCTGGAGAAGGCGGGCAAGACATCTGGGACATGGCAATTATTCTCGGCGGCAAGATCGCGAGATTGGACAAGGATAAGGTATTCGATGGCTGTCCATTCGCTGCGGAGCAGAGCGCAAAAGTTCCCACCCACGGAATATTCGGAAGTCCGAGGCGGGAGATCCGCAGGGGCATGGAATTGCCCATGGAAGGCTGCCAGGATGCTCAGGATTCAGGAATATTGTTAAGATGAGCTTCTGAACCTATGGGGACGGGAGATACTACTGGGAATCTGGGAGACGCGGCTAAAGAGGCGCGATGGTTTGCGGAAGGCTGAAGCTTGACTTTCCGGAGTATCCACCATCCAACACGGCTCGTTGTGATCTCAATCTCAGGAACCCGAGGAAGCCAATTAGCAGTAGCGTCAGGGGGTTTTCCTCAACTCCGCCTAAATTGGCATGAGTTTACAGCTAATGAACCATTACTAGACCCATTTAACTGATAACCTAGACAACCGAAAGTCCGGGTAAAGTTGTACACAGATACGCGGGTGTGGGATGTTGGATGTTGGATCGTGGGTCTTTCTGATTTGATATTTGATATCTTTAAAGGATCTCTTCTTCTTCTCATTCTTTTGCGCGAGTCCTCTTCAAAACCGTCTTGACGAAGCCGGTCGCCGATGAAGTTCTCCTCCGCCCACGCAGCGGCTTGCCTGCTGCAATGCGGTTCTCTGGCTCTTGCTTCCCTCATCCCCCCCGAACTCTCGTCGTATTTCAGCGCGAAGGAGGAGCTGGTGCCCGTTCTTGATGGCATTTCCATCACCCAACCAGCCCAGCTGATTCCGACTGCTGGTGCGTCGCCCCTCCATTTCTCCCACAGCCGCCGGAGACTCGTGAAGAATCGAAGGAAGATGGAAGCTGATTGATTGATGTAGACACCCAGTCTCCTCCCCAAATCCAGATCCCCGCGCATCTGTCGTCGCCGTCGCCGTATCTCCTCTTGATGGTGGATCCGGATTACAATGCGACTGTTCCCACCAACGTCGTGCTGCATACCATGGTCGGCAACCTGTCGTCGGGCAGCACCGCGGGTCACCCAGCAGCACTCACGACCCTGACGTCTGCGGATGAGGCTCTTGCCGCCTATATTGGTCCCCAGCCTCCACCAGGCAAGCCCAGCCACAACTACACGCTCATGCTCTTCGAGCAACCCCACAACTTCAGCATCCCGCCCGCCTTCCAATCATTCTTGCCATTGAATCTCAGCAATGTCTACACCAGAGTCAACTTCCCACTGGTCGACTTCGTCCGGCAGACTGGCCTTGGCTCTCCTGTTGCTGCCACCTATTTCCGTTTGGACCTCAATGCTACTACGACGCCATCACCGACCAACACCACCGTCTCCCCATCTGTGAGCCCCGTGAGCCCCACCTCGCGCGCTTCAGGGCTTTGCATGTCACACTGGAAGATCATTATACCCGGCGTTCTGTGCGCCGCTGTTTGGTTGATTTAACAACAAGGTGTGAGATTTGAGGATAAGTGAAAAAAAGGGAGGCCATGTATATTATGCACATACCATCATAAAAAGGGAGAAAAATTAGAAAGAATAGAAGCGTGGGACTCGGCATGGGTTGGAATCTAATATTTGCATTATACACTATAATGCTTCTATAGTAGCGATTTCTAGAATGATCTCTCTCATCTGACTCTCGTGATGGTGAACAACAGCCTTCGGCTGTTCTCATCTTCAACAGCGTTCTTCTTTGCAATCATCCCCACGGTATCTAGGGTTCCGCTAACTTTCCACTCGGTGTCGGTTGCGCGACCAACTTCATCCCACATGCTCTGGAGCGAGCTGATATCGTGCCGGAAGCTCGTACTGCCCTCTGCGATGGCCGGCACCTCACCCGGCTTGACGCTGCCCGACTGCCGCCCGACGATAATACCGTTGGGGCGCACGAGGCGCGCAACATTCTTGGCGGCGCGGATCTGATCCGGCAGCGGGAAGAGGTGGAAGAAGGCACTGCAGTGGATGATATCAGCCTTCTCCTTCTCCAGGCTAGTCCACGGCTCGCCCTGCTCCGCGCCCTTGAAGATATCGGCCACCAGGAACTTGGACTTCAGCGTCTCGCGGTCCAGGAAGAACTCGTAGCCCAGCTCCATCAGCGGCGCCTCGATGTCCAGCCCCGTTAGCTGCTCCGATGGCACACCCTCGGAGACTAATTCTCGCAGGTCCTGCCCGAAACAGCACCCAAGGTCAAGGTAGCGTGTCGAGGGGTCTTCGATCAGCCGCTTGCGGATTGTGTCATATAGAGGGTGCGTGAGAAGTGTGAGGGTTAGGAATCGGTAGTGCCCGATGCAAGGGTAAGGGTTGGCAGCAAAGCCGCGCTCTCGCTGATTGACGTAGCCATGTCAGTCTGAGAAGAAGGAAGGGAGAAAGAGGGGGAGAGAGAGAGCAGGCCATAGATGAGAATGATAAGGAGATTGAGGTGCAATGCCGGCAGCAGCTGGAATCTACAGCTGGCCAGGATAGGGGAGCATCCTGCCCATGATCTGACAAGTCCGAGCATGAGCATCAGAATTTATTCAAACGTACAATAGCGTTGACATGTGGAACTACGCGTTCCGGCGGCACTTTTGAGTATGTCTCTAAGAGAGAGCGGATCTGTGGGTTGACCTCAGTCAGGTCCTCATCGTACCACTGATTGTGCCGCGTCGGCTTGCTGATAGCGTGTGTCGCCGCCATGATCGTAAAGTTCCCTAGAGGGAGAGAGAGAGAGCAGGAGGGGTCAAGAAGAAGAACAAGACGAAGAAGCTCGGCGGACTCGATTGAGAAATATCTACCACGACTCGGGAGGAGAGAAGGCAGACATCAACGAGGTATTTGAGGGGTTGGAGGGGCATCGCAGGCATATCGATACCATCTCAGACCAACAACCAACAACCCCACATTTCCTTGTTCACGGCCCGGCACATTCTTGCCACAGATCGGACATTATACTCATACTGTATGATGGGATTGACAGTCGGCCGGCGAACGCCCTCTGTGTGGGTCATTGCTTGATACTGTGAGGTACATAGCAAGACCCTGCCCCTCCTGATGCTTGAATGCTTCTCATGTCCCTCCTCCGTAGCCGTCACTGGTGCTGCATGGGGAGTCGGGGACCCCTTAAGCCCTGAACTACTCCCCGAGAGTTTCGTCGAATCATACGCCGTTTCAGGGCCGGGCGCGCCACTGTGCCTCAGTGAGTAGCGTGCCAGGAAGACCGAACACGCCTATCGGCTCCTTAGGGTATTGGCTGCGGATACAGTAGTGGATAGCCGATAGGTTGGGTCTGTTGGACTGAGTTCCTATTTTATACTTAGCACCGGGCTGCAGATCACTTTGGAGGAGGGGGAAGAAACGTGCTGGACATACCCCATCGTCGTACCAAGAACGCCCCCCTCTGGATAAGCTTTTGAACCTTAACACTGCCAAGTCTATTGCGACTACCAGAGATATGCATAATAGAACTACTGGTAACAAATTGGCTTCTGCTGCTATATGGTTTCTGCCTGGTTATGAGATTTCTCTTCATGCGCAGTGCCCGCTATGCCTCAGGTATACATTTGATTAACCAACGTGACCTCGGTTACCACTATTCTTTTACAAACCTCCAAATCATCGACATTGAAGGAGATATCCTCTAGTACTGGGTATACGGTACATATAACGAACAAACAACAATAAAATATGGTATCTCCCTTACTCAATTGCTCCAGCCCATGTGCAGGGCCGTTGCCACATAAAAAATTCACCCTAACGCCTACTCAAAGCACCTCAGCGCCTATTCTTGAGACTCTGATCTTGTCACCGACGATGTCCTCGTCGATGACCACTCGACCCTGTGGTCAACCCTGATCATATCGCACCCCTGCTTCATATTATATCCCGAACCCGACCTATTAGCCTCTGCAGGGTGGGACCAAGCTTGTGTTTTGGTGCCAGGAACGAGCCCCTGAAATTCGAGGTCGGTATTATCCATTATCTCTGATTTTCTTTGCCTGAAGAAACTGGCCTTATGGCTTGCTTGGGGGCCACTGTTATATTTAGCAGAGGCAGACTCTTTTGGTAGCAACACGTCATGTTGTCCGCGGAGGAATGATGTATACAGAGGCGCAGACGGTGGCATGCAGGCGCAGACGATACCAACACCACACTCTACGACAGTGAATGTGACCGTGTCGATATTATTCCCTACAGAAATGTCAGCCAATTTTCATGTCCTCAGGGCAGGGCATACTTACAGGTCACATCAACCACATTGCTGACATGGAAGATAACAGAAATTCGGGCAATGCCGCAGCCAACGGTAAATGCACCGAGCAGAAAGACGAGGAACACAGGGATCTTGCGAGAGTTCTCAACGTGAAGACCCCAGATGACAGGGATCGGAAGGAGCAGAATGACGAGATCTGACGCTGTACTGAGGATCTGGGGAGTGACCAGATGGGCCATCTGTGGCAAGCAACCTCCCTTTGGCGCGGGATATCCGTAGAATGCCACGAAGCGGGTCCAATAGTAGTCGACTGGACTACATTGGAAGATGAAGACGAAGGTCGATGCAATCCCCAGGCCCAGCGCATAGAATCCGTTGGCCCAAAGTGCGATCTTGAACCAACGTTGGTTCCCCAGAAAGATTCGTCGATACACAATCAGGATGGAAAGTTTGATGCACATGATCGCCGGCGCCCAGAGCACTGAGACGATCCAGTAGGCCTGGTATCCACGGTGGTCAGTCCAAAGTATCATTCCAGAGGCGGCCAGGACGTACAGTATACAGCGATTGCAGACCGTTTGGAGCATGCTGATCCTCAAGAAGCACTCGAACCTGGTGAAGGCCAGCTCCATGGACCAAACTCAAGATACTAGCTATCATCTGCGCCCAAACAATGACCTTTGAATGGTCAGGTGCTCCATCTCTCAATCCAGGATTCGGTTCAAACTCACCAGCGCCATGAGGATGAGGGCGTCGTCTAGACCCCATTGCTTTCGAAACCTCCTCTGGGTGTACAAACGCAGTGCTACAGCAATCGTTGCTGCTGCCGCACAGATGGTTATCGCCGCATATTGCTGTGGTCGAATGTCCCGTCCATACTCGGCGATTTGGTCTTCGTAATCAGCGCTGCCCGGCGCTGGCGTTATATGTCTGCTCGCCATTTCCTCCCTTGTAGTTGCAGCCGTCTGCTCCAATGTTCAAGCTCCCGTGCCTGACAGCAGGAAGTTGAGCATTATAAAAGGTTCTGGGTGGGGGGCTGGACAGAGTATGCGTGTGACATGGATGTTGATCTATGCCCGGGTTGCAACCATACTGCGTTGCGGTGTCAGAGATGTGCGGCGTGGTGCACGAGTAGTCATGACTGGTGATGTGAAGCAGTGCGGCACAGCGATCATCGTGGGGTCCTGGCTTACATGTAAGCCATGTGTCGCATCTACGGAGTAGATCAAGTGGAAGGGTCGTATACAGAGTAGTGTCGGGATGCCAGGTAGATGGTACATCTCTTTGGATACTTCGCTATCACATGCTCTCTCTCTTCTATGCTAATTTTACTCTGTACTGTAGCTATCCCGCCACGCGAATCATTATGCGTGCCTGCGTACAAGAACGGCTGTGTGATCTCTACGGAGGGTGCTCTGTGGAGAGAGGGGTCGGTCCGTCCTTTAGACACGGCCGTAGACCCCAAGTGGCAGTTCAGAATCCCGATATACAGGACTTCAATATAGCGCAGAGGAAGCTATCCCTACCAAGCATGAAGCCTTGAGTAGCATCGGCATCAATGGGAGGGGTAAAGTCCTCGAACAGTATCACGGAGCGACGTATAGTGGCTGGTAAAAGAGACTAAGGAATAGAGTGCAGCAGCCGCCATTATTAGTCCCGGCAGGTGCGTGAGGCACAGCCTATTTGTGGTCACAGTGCTAAAATAGTGCGCGGCTTAGCAGAGCGATTCCTTGCTATACGGCAATGATCAACACCGACTAAACACTGAATTGCTGCTTCAGCGTGTCTCCGTATGAAATCAACCACATAGAGGTTGACAATCAAGCACAAGTACCTGTGTTCTAGAAATAGCCGGGAAAAGAGAGGCAGAGAAGGTTTCTTGCAGACATCAACCTCGACAGCATCTATCCGTGCCGCTTTCAGCCCCCACTTTATAACTTCCTCGTCTTTAGGAGATCACCAATACAGCACATCAGAAGTAATTGAGTTAACGGAGAAGAGGTGGTAGAGGGGGCAGAGATTTAAAAAGAAGGCGGAGATCTGAGAGAAGGGACCTGGTACCCTGGATAATGCCACCGTCCTCTGCCGCCAGTGACTTTGGCACTCTCCTTGACACAATAGTAGACTATGTCTATGAGACTCATGTATGAGGCTATGTCGAAGCGCCGCTGATCTCACGTTCTTCTCTTCTAGGCGTCATGGGATGTGCTTCAGAATGTTTTGCAACAAATCCAGAGTGCTAGAAGCTAATCGGTCCCTATGCACCTTGCGCCACGGTGTCGTCCGGCTTTCATCTACCGGGCACCACATTCTAGCTGGACCCAGTCAAGGATGCAGTTGATCTTTGCGTGCTGATTCAGTATCTCGATCATAATGATGGCTTCATGGGCCTTGTATAGGGACATCCATCAGGTCACCCATACCAAAGGTTCTTTGATCCGACGATCGTCTCAAAGACGATGTCGGTGTAATCTGCGCAGTGGCAGACTATGTATCCCGGAACAAGCCAGGCAAGAAGAAGGTCCTATAATTCTGACAATCTTCACCTCGCTGTTCAAAACTTACAAGATCGAAGGACGCTTGCAACTAGCAAATCCATTGAACTAGCGAGGACTCAACCATGTATTTTTCGAGCAGCTTGCGGCATGTGTTGTATCATCGCTCTTGAATCTTAGCAAGATAAAGGCTCTGTTGCCCATTTCTCGCCACATCCTTGATAACCTGCCCGCTCAAGCCTACCGGCACATGCCAAAAACCAGTATACTCAAAGTTCAAGTAGGTGCAATGCTTCAATCAGAGTGGTGCAGCTTGCACTGCTGATGAGCGGTGGGCCCCCCAAAACATCTTTCAGCAGAGCGTTAGGGGTAGGCGGCCGTGATGGGCAAGGCTCGATGTAAGGAGGAATTTCTTGATGCATTGAAAATGGAGGAAATTGCGGTCAAATATCCGCCTGGAAATCCTAGGCATCTAGGTACTGAGAAGGCCGTGACGGCGTAGCTCTCTTCTCCTTTTACCTTACCTACCTCGAGTCAATAGCTAAGGTTAGACGTGACGGGTTCTTTGCAGGAAATGTCAACCCCCAAACTCTTCCCCCTCTCCTCCACCTCCAAAGCCAAAGACAAGGAACTCCTCCCTCCCGATCTCTACCCTAGCTTCAAACAAGCAATGAAGGACAGCAATCTCTCGAAAATCGGCATGATCGAGGTCCTTGAGGCCAAAATCAGATTACCTCGCAGAATGCCTTCTTGGGACAGTTTGATTGGCTTTGAGGCAGCTGAAGATAGGAGGCTCTTTCTCTCCCCCCCCCTTGGCTCCGTGCTCCAACGCCTCCCCCCATGCCCTCCGTACTATAACTAGGTAGTTCATGAGGCTATGTCCGTAGTCGCCACGGCACTCGAACACAACCGCCTTCTAGACAGTCCGAAACGGCATAGCCCAATTTGGCAATTTGGGCTTTGTGGTCGGGAGCCGCATAGTACTGGCGCCATTAGTGTCAGGGGATGGGATCGCCCTTATCACTCTTATCCGATCTTATCCCATCTTGTCCGATCTAATCCGATATCCGATCTTATCCGATATCCCACCCCCACAGCTCGATTCAGCGATCAGAGAAGGGGAAATGGGGAAAACTGGCATCTGGAATCGAGTAGTTGAAGGAAAAGTGAAGGAAAAGTAAAGTGAACATTGGAATCGAGTGAAGAGTGGGATGCAAAAGTCAACGGCATTTCTGCACGAGCATACAAGAGAACCTCATTGGTCGCCAAACAAGAGCTGAGCACGAAGCGATTTTTCGTAGAAGAGAGTTGCGGGGATTAGGTATCCTCCACTGATTGATTATCCTACCTACCTGCAGGGATTCAACGAACGATCCTCCAAACCTCAACTTCAGTTCTCAGCTTACGTTGCTGCCCCAAGCTCCAACGAGACTGCGGCACATACTCCGTATAAAACGAAGAAACCTCCATCCATCCCAGCCCTAACCATGAGTTCCGAGGCCAAGACAGCCCCGTACGGCGAATGGCAGAGCCCCATCACGGCCGAGCTCGTGTCGGGGAGCAACAACACGTTCAATGAAGTCCATGTCGATGTGAGAGAAATCCCCGTCCCGCACCCCCTTCCCCGTGACGAGATTCTCACAGGGGACACAACAGCCGGCCAGCGGCGCAACGTACCTCGTGGAGGGGCGCCCCGCAGAGAGCGGACGATGCGCGATCGTCAAGATCGACGGCGCCGAGAGCAGCGATGTCCTGCCCTCCCAGTACAACGCGCGCAGCTTGATCCATGAATATGGCGGAGGCGCCGCTGCCATGGGCCACGACGGAGGCCTCATCGTCACAGATGCGAACACCCAGGGCGTCTTCCGTCTCAAATCAGGTGACGTCCAGCCCATCGTGGAAGCCAAAGCTGAAGTCCGCTACGGCGATTTCGACGTCCACCCCAAGGATGCTAAATGGGTACTTGCGGTTCAAGAAGTGCATAAGGCGGATCATGAGATTGACAACAAAGTTGTTGTTATAGATGCGGATGCCAAGACAAGCAGCGTCCTCTGCGAGGGGGCGGACTTTTATTCCGATCCCAAGTTCAGTCTCGATGGCAAGTGGATCAGCTGGGTCCAGTGGAAACACCCCGATATGCCATGGACGGGGAGCGAGCTGTACATCGCAACGTGGGAGGATGGGAAGATCGGACAGCCCAGATTCGTCGCGGGGAAAGCTGGCAAGGAAAGCGTTGCGCAGCCGAAATGGCACACGAATGGCGGGCTCCTGTTCTCAAGTGATCGGACGGGATTCCCACAGCTCTATATCTTCCATCCGTCTTCAAGTGAGGCGAGGAAGATCGAGATCAAAGGCTTCGAGGATGCCGAAATCGCGCCTGCGGGCTATCGCATCGGATAGTACGAATCCCTCTTCCCCAGACGTGTGCACTGCTTACTCTCTCCAGCTCCACATACATCGAGTTGAACCCAGAAACTCTTGTTGTCGCTTTTACCAAGAACGCCGTAGACGGGCTTCTTCTGGTAGGTATTGATTCCGGAAAGGTCGTGCCAGTGCCCCTCGATCTGGTCGAGATCCAGCCGGCCTCTGTCCGCAGAATTTCCAACACACGGTTCACAGCCGTTGGCAGCAAGGCCACCTTACCAGCGGCCCTGTACCATTTCGACGTGGAGTCCAACGTGGAGACTGTCCTCCGCTCAACAACATCCATAGCCTTACCCCAATCCATCTTCTCCAAAGCCGAAGCCATCTCCTTCCCACGGACTTACGGCAAGGACAAAACCGGCACCTCCCATGCCCTCTTCCTCCCACCTCACAACCCCTCCTTCTCCGCTCCCCCAGGCTCCAAGCCGCCGCTCATCGTCTCCATCCACGGCGGTCCAACCGGGCACGTAGCCCCGGGCCTCTCGCTCACATCTCAATACTGGACTTCTCGCGGGTTCGCCTACGTGTACGTGAACTATGCCGGCTCGACCGGGTACGGACGCGCGTACATTGAGAGTCTCAACACGCTCTGGGGCGTGCAGGACGTCGACGACGCGGCCAGCTGTGTGGCGTTCCTAGCTGAGAAGGGCTGGGTCGACGGGTCCAGGGTCGGCATCACGGGAGGGAGCGCGGGCGGCTATACGGTTCTCCAAGCACTGTGTACGTACCCCAAACTATGGGCGGCGGGCAACAGCTCGTACGGCATCGGGAACCTGAAGTCGCTGGCGGACATGACGCATAAATTCGAGTCGCATTACCTGTTCGCGCTGGTGTTTCCGGAGGGCACGCCGAAGGAAGAGCAGGAGAAGGTGTATTGGGAGAGGAGCCCTTGTCATCATGCGGAGAAGATTGAAAGCCCATTGTTGCTGTTGCAGGGAGCCTTGGATAGGGTTGTGCCACTCGATCAGGCAGAGGAGATGGAGAGGGTTTTGAAAGAGGGGAAAAAAGACGTCAAGCTTGTGGTGTTTGAGGGCGAGGGGCATGGCTTCAGAATGCAGAAGAATGTGAAGAGAGCGATAGAGGAGGAAGAGTCGCTGTGGAAGAGAACGTTGCTTAGATAGATGAGAAGGCGAGAAAATCTGGAAATCTGGAAATCTGGAAACCTGGTGGATACGAGGAGGAGCTATTTTGGCCCTGGAAAGGACAGGGAAGCATTGTTTGCCAGACCACGTAATCTGTTCCCGTACTGAGGAGCGCGATTGAGATCAGACAATGCAACTTAGACATGAGCCAGACAAGATATCCGCATTCGTTCTTATTTCTTGGTGCTATAGGCCCATAACCATCCCGCCAACTCTCACCTAGCGATGAATTTATGACTTGAGTTGAAATTCGTAACTTTTGCTATTCGTACATGGGTATCTTTTGCCTCGAAATAAGGCCTATAAAATGCTATAGATGGACGACGACTCTTCTGTGAAATGAGGTGGCTATCCTAACGTCCAGTTCTTTGACACAGTACCGACATCTAGGTTAGATCCGGGTTGGTGTATCCACGTTCTCCAGGTTTCAATAGCTGGGTGATATATGAACATTATGCTGGCACCTTGACCCCAGGGTCACGGGCCTCCGGCTCATAGGTTCTTGGGATCAAACCCTCGGCCATGTCAATCGCACCCTCCATGTTGTCTTTGTTGAACAAAAACAACCCCTGTATAGCGGCCGTGCTCGTATACAATTTCGGTCTCTTTGTGCCCGTGGCATCAGTAACAAGGTCAAGCGCTTCCAGCCTCTCAAGGAAGCGCTCTCTGCCTTTTCCATCCTCGTCAATATCTCCATAAAACCTATTCCACATCTCGCCAGCCTGATGTCGTGTGGCCTCTCCAATCCTGACTGTCATATCTACTCGACCAGGCCGGATCAGAGCCTCGTCAAGGCGATCGATATGGTTGGTGGTCAGAAACGCGATCCGCTCTTCTCCAGCAGCCACCCCATCTAACGCATTCAACAACCCCGAGAAAGTCACAGTCCCACCACTATACCCGTCCTCATCAACCTGTCTCCGGTTTCTAAACGCTGCGTCGGCATCTTCAAGGAGGAGGATTGATCGCGGAGGGAGCTTGGTAAGAAGATATGAAAGCTTATCATCCGTCATACCTCTCTCACTAAGATTGATAAGAGCAACACTGAAATCCAATTCCCCTGCCAATGCCTGTATAAAAGAACTTTTGCCAGTTCCCGGAGGTCCATAGAGCAAGTATCCCCTCCTGTATGGTATTCCACGGTCCACATACCATTCTTTGCGCCCTAGGAAATCTGTCACGTCTTCCAGAATCCTTTCCTTGATTCCCTGGTCCAGTATGACTGATGAAAGGGGCCGTTTTAACCGGGGATCCCCGAACCGTGTCCATTCCATGCCTCTCGATGTGTACATCACTGTCTTACCCTCTTGAGCTGACGCAGCCAAGTGATGGGCCTCGGCGAAGATATCTTCAAAAATATGTCGATGCGCATAAAGGGTTGTCAGCGTAATCGTCTCGTGCGGTTCGCCTGTATTCAGGTTCGCAGATGTCTGTTTCTCTCGATTGACTGATATATAAGCGTTCTTATGTCGAATGATATGTCTACCATAGCCTGGCTGAAGGAAATACTGTTTGTGGGTGGGGCCATGCTGTGACGATTGCGAGATTGTCCTCATGGAGAGGTGATGGATGCGGGTGATTTTCGACGTGATGAAGTCGGCAGGAGGTCGGGGAAGTGATAGCCATGCAAGTATTGATTGATAGGAGTCGTCTTGTTTAGAGATCTCGAGGTCAACGAGGAGACGGCGCTTTACGAGGGACGCGCCTTGGATGGCTGATCGTCGAGCGAATGCAGCAGCTAACCCGAGTCCCCCAAGGCCGATGCCACCGGCAAAGACTGGGTTATTGAGGAGCGCATCGAGAGGGAGGAAAGATGAAGGAGGCGTCTCCATCTTCTGTAAATCCAGTGAAGTCTGGTGTTAATGGACAGTCGCCTTTGGGAATTGCATCTCTCGCCTTTCGCCTTTCGTCTGGAGGTTCAGTAAATATTTAATCGGATAATTATCGGATAATTGTTGGCCCCCCTTCGCTTACAGCGCCGCCTACGTAGCGTCCGTTCAGGGGGGGCAACAAAAATAAAAAGGGGGGGGTGGCCGAGAAGGCAATTCAAACACCATGGATGACATCTGGGCGATTCAAAGGGAAGTTTGAGACACACTGGTTCCTCTCTAAGTGGATACAAATAGCTTATGTCTGAATAGCTCATTTATCGTCGATTTTCAATTCAACATAAAAGTAGTATTTGTTTTGGATAAAATTGCATATTGGATGGAACTCTAGAGATTAACTGGCAAACGGTGCTACGGTCAGCCATCATGATTTCCGTGCATGTTGAAGCCTGAGTATTACTTAACACCCTCGATTCTTGGATAACGCCCAGAGAAATAAGCCTGCGGCAAATGTTGACCTCCCTGCAGTATTCTTCCCCGGAATATGTAGCAGCAGGTACAGGAGATCAGTGATATTCGACCCACGGGTCAAGAATCAGGGGTTGGTAGTGGCTGATGTTAACGTGTAGCTATGACACTAGGAGTAAAGACTAGGTAATGAAGGGTATACCAAGGCATACCTAGAGATGTAGCCTTGGGAATTAGAGCCGGGAGGGCCCAATGATTGCAGGACGACAAGGAATGGATAGCTCAATGCAGCGGTATAGAAGATGCTGAGAGTGTACGATTCCTGGCTGTGGGGTGCTGACGAGATGGGATCAAGAGCTTCTAGAATCGAGTAGTTTGTGGCGCATTCTGGCTATCGTGGCGAGGGCATTGAAGGTGTACATAGGTCCGTATCTGGGAGCAGCATCAATTATTAGTTCAGTAATTGGGAAGCGGGTTCTTACAAACGCAGTCCTTCATTTGCAGCAGATGGGAGACATTCGAGACCTCTAACGGAATCAATAAGCCATGTATACTGCGCATAATGTCGAAATACATGGTCGGGAGGAAGCTAGCCAGTTGGGAAGGAAAGACAACACTTCGAAGACCGACCAAATGATGTTGAATGATGCGAGCCCATGGAGAATGGCATATGATGATATGCGTAAGAAGATGGGCTGCAGCGCGTGAGTTGGGTTGTAAGTAACAGACGCGAGGATCTACATGATAATGTGGGGGCCCCCTAGGAACAAGAGATATAGAAGCAGACATCATGGACGCTTATATATCGATGTGCTTACAGCTGTGGGAGTGCTGCGAACCGAAAGGCCTTTTTCAATGCGGGTATGTATTTTGTCTCTAGCGTGCCTTCTAGTAATGCAGCCTCAAAATCCTGCCAAAGAACTTCTGGCAGTAAAGCGTGTCTAGGTGTTTGAAGGGGGTGATGAAAGGTGTCCGAGTAGCCTAAAGAGACGTGAAACAAAGATGAATATAGAAGAAGTGATAGGTAAAGCGGATTCCAAGCGGAAGCGAAGGAATACGTATGATACCGGCAGAGTGTTGTTAAATGACGAAACAGAGTGAAGGAGGGGAAGATTTAGCTGGTAGTTGGATGAAAGGCCAGCCCTGTCTTATACTACCCCGGATTTGTGAAGTCGAGATCCCTACCTGCAATTGCGACGACCAGCTCGCTTCCCGGATGTGTACTCGAGCTTTGTCAAGACGATTTGCTCAAATCTCCCTTCTGGTCTCTGTCCGCGCCTAGGGTTGAGTTGCTGGATTCAGAGTTGCGTGCAGTAAAGGTGAGATTTGTGCAAAGGTAGAAGGAGTGAAGGTGGTAAACATTTAAAAAAAAAAAAAAGAGGAAAAAAGAGAAGAAAAGAACAGGAGAGCAAGAGAAGATGCAAATAACGCCTCGCGGGCGGAGGAGCATAGGGAATGCCAAATTCACGATTACAATTCGAGGCAACAATCTAAAACAAAGAACCATTTGTAGGTACCTTAACTAAAGGAGAAAATAAGAAGGAAAAAGACTCAAGTATATGAGGTATTGTACAGCTGCTTGATTCTCAACGTCCCCGAATTTCTGAGAGATTTGCTTAGAGGAAGTGGATAAAACCACACTCCGAACGTCTCGCGGGAGTTGGCTACTTGACCATTCCCGGTGTAAACTTTGTAGATTTTGGACTCATCGTTCATCTCTAAGGTAGGTAGGTTAAAGGTTGATTGTTTTATTCCCTCCAGAGCTGATCGTTGACGTCGCAATATGCGTGCTCGCATAATGCCTTTGTAGACGATGCTGCATAAAACGCGCATAAAAAGTTATTCACATCGCAAAGTGTCCACAACTTCCAACTGTCTGCAGCGTCACGATACACGGGCGACCTGTTCGCGACAACGAGACCGCAGGCTGCCTGTCACTCCTTTCCCTCTCTTCTCCCTCTTCCAGACTCCTGTATTTATATACCGCGTTGCGCCATACCGGCTATTTCTCAATTTCGCCCTCATCGCCTCCCGTTCTCTCATAAGCCCGCCGCAAACCTCACCAGCAGCCAGTATGCTCTCTGCGCTACAAAATCCGCGGCATGCCGCCGCGCAATTGATTAACTTCGGACTGATTCTCTCGACCGCATTCATGATGTGGAAAGGGCTCTCTGTCATCGCTGACTCGCCGTCGCCCATCGTTGTCGTTCTCTCGGGGTCCATGGAGCCAGCCTTCCAACGTGGCGATCTGCTCTTTCTGTGGAATCGGAATGTATTTGAGGAGACAAAAGTTGGGGAGATTGTGGTGTATAATGTCAAGGGCAAGGACATCCCGATTGTGCACCGCGTGGTGAGGAAGTTTGGGACTGGGTGAGTTGATTGCTCCAGGCTTGCACCACTGGGCATTCCTGTGCTGGCATACTTACTGATGCATATCGTGTAGGAACCAAGCGAAGCTCTTGACCAAAGGGGATAATAATGTAGCGGATGACACGGAATTGTATGCGCGCGGACAGGACTTTCTCGAAAGGGAAGATATCATTGGGAGTGTGGTGGCCTACATACCGTTCGTAGGCTATGTGACGATCCTCCTCAGCGAACATCCATGGTTGAAAACAGTTGCCCTAGGATTGATGGGCCTTGTGGCGGTCCTGCAAAGAGAGTAGGGAGGAGGCATACTTCATGTTCACTCTCCAATGGGATGGGACGGCGTTCAGGGCGCGTACGTGGAGTGCTATATATTATGGAGAAAAGTCATTGCATATGGGACATCTTTGAACTATTCTGATCTATCAGTAAAAATAACTGCTTCTTGTCTAGAGGTGGACAATCATGAACTCTTTAAGCAGTGCACAAGGATGAGCAACGTTAAGACGATTGGTCTTTCTCTCAGAACACGTATACACCTATAGAGTATTTTTTGTAAGAAAAGCATCTAACATCTCTATTCAGTGTCCTGCAAATGACGCAAAATATGCAGCCCGAAAGATATTCCTATGTTGCTTCTAGATCATTATTTACATGTTCCCTAATGCAGCAGTTCAGCCTCGTTTATCTTAGCGCGCCGCGGGGCAGGGATCGAGGTGTTTGCAAGTTTCTGTGACGTGAGAGCTACTTCTCCCCATCTCTCTGAAAACCTCCTCTCTTCCTATAACCTCGAGATATTAAAAGTGTGCTTTGATCTGCTGAACCTCTTCTCTGGGTCACAGTTGATAGGTTTGTCGGAAAACCTCGCGACCTCCGGCAGTGTGGCTGTTTCATTCCCGTCTCCCATCCCCTCTTGAACATCCCGACCCCGCCAAACACAACAAGGCTTCGACATGTCTGCCCAGAAGCGGATCACGAAGGTTTGTATCGTCCCTTTCGGATGGCTGTGGGATAGGGGCGAGATTACTGATATCTGCACAGGAGTTTGCGGAGGTGACCACGAATCCTCCTGCGGGGATGCAGATCAGCCTTGTCGACGAATCCAACGTCCACAACTGGAACATCATAATGGACGGACCCCCAGGCTCACCTTACGCTGTATGCCTTTGTCTCCTCCTCCTCCCTCAGTCTCCTTTTATGTATCGCTGACAAGCCTCTTTCCTAGGGCGGAAAATTCCATCTCCTCCTTGTGCTCCCTGTCGAATACCCATTCAAGCCGCCCACCATAAACTTCAAGACCCGCATCTGGCATCCAAACGTTACGTTCGATGACCAAGGCAGCATGTGCATCGGAATCCTGAAAGGAGAGACGTGGAAGCCGAGCAGCAAAATCATGAACGTGCTAGTGGCCACGCAGAATCTGCTGGTTGAGCCCGTCCCGGATGACGCGCTGGAGGCACAAGCGGCAGAAATGTATAAGAATGATCGGCCGGCATATGAGAAAGAAGCCATTAAGTATACGGAGAAGTATGCTAAAGGGAAATAATGGTGGTACATAAGATGGGTGAGGATGCAAGGATATGAGACAGCAGGGACGCATGATGAATGAACGACGAGCAAAGGCATGGCGTTAGGAATGGATGAGGCATAGAATTGCTTGCGTCTCTTACCCTTCTCTTACGGATAGTTGAGGCCCAATGGAATTGCTTTTATGCGTACTCGCTTCCTTTGTCTGTGAATGGAACATTGGAACAGCTATACACACCAGCTCAAGAGTCAAGATCAGGCCATGAGACCCAGAGTGAACACAGACAGTCGCCCGATCCTCCGCGGTCGACGATCTCCCTGATTCTAACACCTAGCTCCAATACGCGACAACAAGACCGTAAACATTCCCCTCCACAAGACGCGACGAGGGCGCGTAGCAGACGGGACAAGTGTTGACAAACAGCTCTTGGGCGGCTGAGCCAACTCCGCAAAGAAGCCAATGAAATGAAACCCGATTGTAGAATACATACTGGTGTTCAAGGCTCTAAGAGATGGATAGTCCTATCATAATGGTATGATCGTTCATCATCTAGACCTAGCCAATGGGCACGAAACCTAAGGCAAGGTAGTTATCGACACTATCGATCGATCGCGACTATTTGATCGGAGAAATAGATAGAATTGGGATTGGGAAGTAAGACTGCTGTTAAATTGTAAATATCAATATCTAGATCTTAATCTCAATCTCAATCTCCATCTATAATAATACCCAAGGCGCCTTAATCTCATATCCCTGGCTGTCACCCGTCTGTCTCCAGCTTTGACCACGGCCCTATCGCCAAATACGAATATCATCCCAGCCATCCCGCAACCACCAACGCTCCTCGATGCCAACGCCAATTCCAATGCCAATGCCAGTGTCTCCGCGCATCCCCCTCCATTCATTCCTGCGTCGACGCTGCGTAAACAGGATGTCTTCCTTCTAGACGTCTTTCTCTACTGCCAACGCCGCGCTGGACATACATGGTACGGGAGCAGGTATTTCGACAAGGGGTGCGCAGAGCCGGGCCTTTGCACCAGGACGACGACAACGACCGTGAATTCTCTGCTGTGCTAGAGGGACAATGAGCATGGCGAATGGAGCCAATGCCCTTGGGATGTCTGAACCACGGGATGGACCGCGTCAGGCCAAGAGGCAGCGGAGCATGAAGTTCGCTCTCTATCCGTCTCGCCCATCGTCCAGGGGCTCGACCAGATCTCGCCCATCAACACCAGTCTCGTCAGAACCACCACAATTACCACCACTCCCTCTCTCTTCACGGTCCAGCTCGTTGTCCAACGACATTCTCTATCCGCGGCGACCTCATACTTCCCACGCTCCTTCAACTGAGGCTTACCGATCCGTCACGGCTCCGCCACAGATCCCACAGACTTTACATAAGAAACCATCTGAAGCTTCACGACTGCGTGCCCTCAACAATGGGTATAGAGCCTATTCTGCTGAGAGAACCAATCCTGCTGATCTCTCATCCGAGAACTTCTCACGCCCCTATCAGCCAAACGTTAGACGCAGGAATGATTCACCTACCCAATTCCTGCAAAACACTGCCACCGCACTCCGACCTCACGATGAAAAGCAAGTATCTCAGAACGGAATAATAACACGGGAACGCGGCCTCTCCACCTCCTCCTCGCAGTCGACCGCGAATTTTACCCCTTCGATCGCTCTCAGACCCTCCGCTTCGATCCCCGATTACCACTCTCCAGACCCACTTCATGCAAGCCCACGGAACCTCAATAGTTCGAGTTACAGACCGTGGAGAGGAATGGAGAGACCGGATAGTAATGCCTCTGCACATAGATGGGAGCCAACATCACGGCCTTTCGAAGGCGACGAGGTACTACGGGCGAGTCTGCGGTCGGCCTTGACTACCGGCTCAAGTTACGTTGGGACAAGCGGGACGGAGAGAAGCAGTGTCTTGACAAAGAGCAGCTCCAGAACATCAATGTTTGGCAGAGACGAGGGGATGACTGTAGACGATTTCCTGGGAATGTACGAAGAGGGGTTTACAGATTCGGGGGTCGAAGATAATGATGAGGAACCACGACCTACAACTGGCACATCGGAAGACAAGAGGGTATCGGAGCTTTGTGAAGAGATGAATGACAAGCTGCCAGTGCGTCCTTCGATTCAGGTTATTCGGAATTCAGAGGCCATCTTTAGTCCCGGGGGGACAGATAGTCCTGTTACTCCAGATACTCCCCTTCAGGGTCCCGACAGCCCCGTCGATATCCAGAATCCCTACTTTGACGGAGCAGCTACGAGCCGTCCTATGACCAGAGCAGCTCCGATGGATTTTGGAGCAGCTCGGGACCGCTATGGTTTCCGTAAGAAAACCCAGCACGTTTCCCTGGAGGAATATGAGTCCTGGAATGGCCCGTATACTGAATATCTTGCGAGGCGTCGGAAGAAGTGGGTACACCTTCTCAAAGAGAACGGTCTAATGAGTGACACTCCTAATCGATTTCCGCCCAAGAGTCAAAAGGTGAAGCGTTTCGTGCGGAAAGGAATACCACCAGATTGGAGAGGAGACGCGTGGTTCTACTACGCCGGTGGCCCATCTATGCTCTCAAAACATTATGGTGTTTACGATGATCTGCTAAAAAAGGCAGCAGCAGGAGGCGTCTCCGAGACCGACGACGAGATCATAGAGAGAGACCTCAATCGCACATTCCCAGACAACATCCTCTTCAGACCCGACCCTCCAGAAGCCACTCCCGGCTCACAACACGATTCGCGGGCGCCCGAGGCTGAGACGCCTATTCTGCAATCCCTCCGCCGGGTGCTACAAGCATTCTCCATCTACAACCCTAAGATTGGCTATTGCCAGTCTCTAAATTTCCTTGCGGGTCTATTACTCCTCTTCATGAATGAAGAGAAATCCTTCTGGATGCTCAACATCATAACACGCGTCTATCTCCCCGGCACGCACGAAGTGAACCTCGAAGGGGCCAACGTCGACCTCGGCGTCCTGATGCTCTCGATCCGCGAAACCATGCCGTCGGTCTGGGCGAAGATCGGCGGCGAGCTGGACGGCTCGACGTTTGACCCCAAAGTATCGATGCGTCTCCCACCAATCACGCTCTGCACCACAGCCTGGTTCATGTCCTGCTTCATCGGCACCCTGCCCATCGAGACCACGCTCCGGGTCTGGGACTCCTTCTTCTACGAAGGGTCGAAAACGCTCTTCCGCATCGCGTTGACGATCTTCAAACTCGGCGAACAAGAGATCAAGAATGTGAGTGACCCGATGGAGATCTTCCAGGTGGTTCAGACGATCCCGCGGAGGCTGGTGGATGCCAACCTGGTGCTGGACACGTGTTTCAAGCGCCGAGGCGGCTTCTCTTCGCTGAGCCAGGAGAAGATCGAGCAGAGGAGACAAGAGCGGAGACAGGGTTATGCGGAGGAACGTCAGCGAGCCAATGGAGAGATTCCCGCACAGCCCGTGAGGAGGAAAGGGGGCTTCCGCAGAAAGAAGGGCCTGATCAGACTCCCTCACCTGATGGATGGCAAGTTTGGTGACAGTGGGAAATAGACCGTGGATGTAAATCTATGGTTATGAAAGAAATAATCTTTCCATTGAGAGAGATATATACCCCTCCCTTTCTTTACACGAAAATCCGCCCAATATCTCTCTCCACGAACAGCAGGGGAGTTCCAGAGGCGCTATGCATGCATGCAGCACAGAGCGATCATTCCATTTTTCTTTTGTCTTTTGAGGGACATCTCTCCTTTTTTTTCCCCTTCTTTTTGAGATTCACTTTTCTTGATTGAGCCTGTCGATGTAGGGACAGCTACGATGTTATGATAGATAGATTAGGTAGGAAAGTAGGGATGGATGGATGGATGGATCGGGCAGGATTTGATAGATGAGATGAGATGAGATGATGGATGTGTAGGTATGGATCGCCCACAAAATAGAGAGAGAGTCAGTCAGTCAAGTCAGTCCTTGCTTTTCTAAAGAAACCAAAACAAAGAATGAAAGAAAGAAACAAGCCAAGCAAGTAAGCAAGTAAGGCAAAGCATGGACCGGAACGGAACGGGATGGGTTGGGTTGGGATATACTGTAACCTACCTACTTACTGTACAATAAACAAATACCTAGGTACAGGAGAGGAGCATTACGGTAGAGAAAAAAGAAAGAAAGAGAGAAAGAAAACGAAAAGAAAGTGGAAATCTTAGAAAATAAATCAAAGGGTTCAACATCCCGCTCACCAACGCTTAGCATACCTAGTCTTCGGAAAGTAAGTACGTGGCGCAGAAGACGATGATGATGACTTCTGGAAATCAGATTAAGTAGGTTAGGAAGTGATTAATGTTCTATACACCCAGAAAACTCCTTGTTACCCGACGGTATCGCCCCAGAACGCCTAGACTTGGATATAAAACACAGACAGATACAGACACAGGCCCGCAGCCAGGCAGACAGAAGATAACCTGTGGGAAAAATAAAAAACAAAAAGCACGCCATCAAGCTAGCTAGCTCCTCAGAGCATCTCCCCCTCATCCATCAGATCCCATTTCCTCGCTGTCAGCTTCCGGACTTTTCGCAAGGGGCTACTCGTCCCATGCGCCGCGGAATCGCTGGCGATTCGCAGCCGCTCCAGCGCATTCCCTACGCTGCTCAGTTCCGTCAGGGGTCCCCCACCACGGAGCATGTTCTCCCCGCTGGGTCCCGGCTGTGCAGTCCTCCTGGTGGGGCTCCGGGATTGGAGTTGGCGCGTGAGGAGCTCGACCTCCCTCCTCAGCCGCATATTCTCCATTTCCAGGTCATCGGTTTGCGCAGTGCCTTGGCCTGCATTCGCGTTCTCTTTGTCTTCATCAGTCATGTCCATGCCCCGGGTGAGGAGGTCGATTTTCCGGTCAAGGTGCTCCTCGGCGCTTTCTTGTTCCATGGCCCAGATGTTCTTCCATCTTTGCATCTCCTGCTGCAGCTTCTGCTCCATCTCGATGTAGCATTCTTCTCGGACCTCGGCCTCCTTTTCGAGGAGCCGGTCTTCCAGCTCGGAGCGTAGAGTTTCGAGGTGGGCGGAGATTTCTAACCGCTGTTCCTGTTCAGCCTGGAGCTCTGCGCGCAGGCCGTCGATCTCTTCGCTCATGCGGGCAATTTCGAGGGCGGCTAGCTCCATTGTTTCTCTTCCTGTGTCGGATGGACTGCTGCGGTCACTTCCCCCGGTTGACCGGCCGCTAAAGTAATTTGAAGCGTTTTGGGCTAGGATGGTGCTTGTAACTGATGGGATACGTGGAACAGTGACTTCTCTCGCCAGAGCGGAATAGCGCAGGATTTGAGAAGTGGCATTGAAGTCTCCAAGCGGGTCGGCGGTTACTATCATAATTGCCTTTTGCGGATTGCGGTGCCCGGTGGATGGGGGTGCTTGCTGAGATGCGGTAGATGAAACAGCAGAGTTGGAATGGGAAGGGAAGCAGTTGGAGAAAAGCAGTTCAGTTAATTTGCATTGCCGGTAGGGGACCAGGTTTGGCTTTCATTCCTTTTAGTATGGTTTCAGATAGGGAGCGGACAGGCTTACCTTTGTGGAAGAACCCAGATCTGACTGCATTTGGAGACATTGCCCAAGATACATCAAACTCTCATTGATCTTGCCAGCCTCCTGTAACGTCGTCCCCTGAGTCTTCGCATCTCTTGCTCTCTCACTACCTGCTAAGTCCACTATCGTAAGAGCGCTACCACCCCACTTCCCCGGCGTGCGGCTCTTCCTCCTCTTCTTAACCTCGACACAGAAAAAGCCGTGAGACCTAGATGATACGCTGTTAGAACCTGTGCCCGCCACTCGCCGCTCATGAAGTCCTGCCTCGAGAACCATGAGCGCTTCTTTCATATTCCCGCATATGACTTTCCGTAGTCCGGCGACGACTTTTCGATCGGGGGATTGCTCGGTCGGTTTGAAGAGTAATGGGCGGCGACGGAAATCCTTTGTCGATTTTCCAGGCAGGGCTGGAGTAAGAAGGTCAAAGATCCTATCGTTATAAACTTCATACATAGAAATCAAAACTGCATATTCAGCATGTTGATCCACATCGACTGTGAGATTGCTGATGTCCGGTAACTGGGGCAAGACAGAAGGTCTCTGAAGAGGATTTCGTCGGGGTGCGGGAGTATAGGATTCGCCCTTGAGTTCAGATTTAGTAAGATACTTCCTTGAATTTGTGACAGTAGAGCGCATGAATGATGGAATCAAAGAGATTTCAGGTGCCATCGAAACTATCGATTGTGAGAGAACACTTTCTTCGGCAGTGATGACCCGGATACTTTTCGGACTTCCGGTGTCTAGCCCCAGGAGCGTGGGGTACAGGCCGCGTGAAGAGGGGTGTAGAGAAAATTGTTTGGAGGGAGATCGTACCACCATCGGCGTTGTGGCCCGAGAGCTGGCGCGAGATTGGGGGTTAGGGTCCCCGTATATGCTGTCGATAAACATAGAAGCAGACAAGACTTGTGCTTCAGATGGATCAGAGGCCGCAACTGAGGCGTGTAGGGAGGTGGTAGTTGAGGGATCGAGGATGTTTGTGGAGATAGAGCGGAAAAGAACGTCCAGTGCGAGTTGTGTGAGTCCACGTTGGTTACGAGATCCCATAATGGTGTGGGACTGTACATCATTAGAATTATTATCATCTTTAGAGATCTAAGAAACAGACCTTCCCAGAACCCGTAACGCCAAGTGTAGCCAACAGTCCATCTCTGCCTTCTCCGCCTTGTGGCCCGAGAACTCCTTCGACTAAGGGCAAGACGCCCGTTCCTTGGAAGATGTCAAGCTGACTAGAACTCTCTTCAAACACCTTTGTAAAGGCAAATTTCTCCACCGCACGTCTTCGATTATCGTTTGGAGGGTTTAGAGTAATATGGGATGGTAGCTCATCGTCAACGGCTTCCTCGACGGTCAAGAATCGTTCAGGTGTCGTGAGAATAGGATACAGCTGGTTTGGTGTTGGAGGAGGGCGCAATCGAAGATAGACTTGGAACAGAGCTGCTTGGGTTCTTTGAGGTGGCTCCATTTTGCAGGTGGTGTTTTGTAGTCTCTGTCCTGTCTTTTCCCGTTTTGTTCGGATAAGATGGTCGCGGAATGGTTTTCGAGTAATATTTTGATTTGGATCTGGCGTTGGCACGACAACCCATATGTCCGTTATTTGCGCCTCTTTCGCTCACCGCTTTCGCTTAGATTTAAGCTTAATTCTGGCCTGCTAACCATTCTGGGGAATTTAGCCGGATATGGGCAATGCCGAGGAAGTCGATGGCCACGTGATCCACCAGGTCGATTCAGAATATGACCTCGATGTGTGGTCGATTGCATATCCTTCAATCTGGAACGCCCATCCGGTTGCAACACAGGGTCATCTCATTATTCACAACTGGATCTTCTTCTTGTTTCGACCTGAAAATGACCCAAGGTGAGCATTCCTGATCGTGATCGCATCCTTCAGCACGAGCCGACAACGTCAGTCCCGTTTTGACGGCCTTTCATCAACAAGGCCTTCCCATTTCACGACTGGAATTCCACTCAATCTATGTGCTTGGTTAGAATACTTTCTATTGAACATCTGTTTCTACCCCACTGTGATTCAATGACAATCTGGTAATACCAAACAACTCTTATATCATTGCACGATGAACCTTCGTTCTTGATTGCTATCCAAAGAGATCAGATCTCTCGGAGTCGTCTTCCTCCTAAAGTCACCAAGCCTACCTGACGGCTACGGCCCATGACCTCTAAAGACGCCTCCTCTCGTGTCTTGAAAATTCTCTATGTCGTCGTCACTCTTCCAACTGGGACAGGTCCTTCGAGGGAGATTGGGAAAGTACGTTATTACAAAACAAATCCAGGACACCGTCTGGTTAGCAAAGTAAGTGCCTGGTCTTACTGAGAAGCATGGTTAGAAATTAATTTCCATAGGAACAATGTCGAAGAACGCGTAGTCATCAAAAGTGTATCGGGCCATCCTCGCGTCGAGAACGAACGAGATGTTCTCAAACGCTTCCAGGGCCAGAGTCCTTACATACGGCCCTTGATTGACGATATTGAAGAAGCATCTTTTCCACCGACCATTGTTCTGAAGTATCTCGACGACCACCTCTTGAACGCATCAATCAAGAAAACTCTCAATCGAAAAGAACTCAAGTTCGTCTCAAAGCGTATACTTGAAGCGTTGCAAGTACTCCATGAAGATAACTATGTACACACTGGTAAACACATATCTGAAATCTACCTAAGAGCCCTACTGAATTCCAGATTGAAGATGTCAAACTCGACAATATCCTTGTGAACTACAAAGAAGGCGAAATACGCTTCTCAGATGTCCAGCTTGGCGACCTTGGTGGGACGTACCGCGCAGATTCCAAATATGCGACTTCCGGTACACCGGTGGGCGCACCAATGTGGAGCAGTCCCGAAGTAATCATGGAAACTCCTTGGAACACGGCAACCGACATATGGTCTTTTGGGGCCGTGGTACGTTGAAAAGCATGAGATTGGAGAGGAGCGTGCTGAATTTCCACATCTAGCTCATCAGTCTCATCTATGGTGGTGACTTCAACCTTTTCCGACCCCGCACCGTGTCGCATGATCACGAGGAGTACGGCTTGGAGGTACTCAAGCGGCAGTTCAAATATTTCGGTCCGTTCCCCGAGAAATATGCAGAGATTGCTAGCCCAGAGACGGTCATGGCTATATTATGGCTCATGCAAGAGATTCCGCAGTCGCAAACCACGCCATTCCAGAGAACCGCGGAACATGAAGTCTGTAAGAAGGACAAGGAATTCATTGGGAAAATCATGATGATAGACTGGAGAGACAGACCAACAGCTAAAGAGCTTTTATATGACGAATGGTTTCGAGAGGATGAAGAGGACTAGGTAAGGCGCCAAAGGCTTTTCTTACGGTAATCGCTCGGATATACCTCACAAGATCAAGTATGGTGCATTACTGAAATTGACTGTCTGCGTAGGGGAAAGGAGAGAGAGGGGGTGGGGGGGTGGTTGGTTAGGTAGGTAGGTAAGATGGGAAGATAAGATAAGATATATATGATGTGTATCATAGGTAGGGAAGAAAAGAAAACCGAAAAAATAAAGGGAGAGGGAATGCAGATACAAAGGGGACTTCAGGGACAACTGCAGTAGAACACAGATCCACGTGCACTCCACCGTTTCCAGCGCGAGATGTCCGAAGAAAGGGTCGCGTGCCTCTGCAGAGCGAGGATCCTAAACACACGCATGTAGCGCGGGTACATTAAAGGGCGTTGTGTGTATATAGCCTACATATAATTCAAAAGCAATATATGTTGTCGGTAGATACAGACAGCAGATGATGATAGATAGATAGACATCTACAGACCAAAGTACTAGGAGTGGTTCTTCTACACAGTGTACCTCCCCCGGATTACCTCCCGCTGACCTTCCGCTCGTACCAGCGTGCGGGTGGGTAGACGATTAATGTGAATACGGCGGAGAGGTAGATGCCGACGTCTCCTCCAATGCTGCCGAATTTGGCTGCGATGGGTCCTGTGATGTGATGTGATGGTTAGAAAGTGTGTTCGTGACGGGAGGGGAGGGGAGGGGGTCTTACCGGTGTACCACGTCTGGGCCATCCCTGTTACACCCCCGGCGAGGTAGCCCGTGAGCAGAGCCAGCACGGCCGCAATGCCCAGAGGTAATTTTGATGGTTGGTCCCACGCATTCAGATTATAGCCCTCGTGTCTGCGGAACCATCGGTCCTCGACCACGAGGATGACGGTGAAGGAGATGGTCCAGTAACCGAGCAGAGAGACAAAGTTCGAGACGATGGTGGACAGAGAATCCTTGCCGGCGATAGCAAGGATGGCAATCACGAGCGCGTTGAGGAACGACCAGATGAATCGCGGGATGGCATGGAAGTAATGGCCCAGGAGCTGTATGGACAGGCCCGAGGAGTAGTTGACGGCAATGTTGTTCCCCAGGACGGTGAAGACCAGGATTACGAGACAGAATTTGGAGAAGTGGAGGGGATGGTAGGCCTCGCGGAGCAAGCCACCGAGTCCATGGTCAGTGTACGCGTTGGCCAAGATAGGATTCGCATCGGCATTGCTGACCGCGATGTTCCCAAGGCACGCCCCAATCACAGTGACGAAGACGGTGGGGATGGAGATACCGAACAGCGTGAGGGCCCAGATCTTCCACGGCTTCGTGTCCGCCGGGTAGTTGCAGTAGTAGTCAGAAGCAATCGAACACCAGCCCGAGGCGGAAGAGAAGTTGAGGGCGAGGAAGGTGAGGAAGGCGGCCGAGAATTCGATGCCCTTGTCTTTGCCTGGAAAACCGGGGTCGACCTTGTGGCCAACTTCGCCGATCAAGACCACTATCAGGATGAATCCTGCGATCCACGAATACTTCTCGTACGTGTGGATAAGTCGAAACCCGAAGACCGAGACGACATAACCAATGACCGCGATAATCACACAGCCAACCGAGATGGTCATGGTGTAGTCGGAGACGGCGGAGAGGATCTGACCGACGACGACCACATTCACAACGGCAAAGCCACCGCCCACGATCACGTTGAGGAAAGAGCAAATCTTTGCGCCGTGGAAACCAAAGGAGTATCGCGAGGTTGCGATGGCACGGAGACCCAGCTGTGAGATGTGTTAATGCGTTTCTAATACAGGGGAATCTGCTGTTCTCGTTCGTACCTTGGGACCCAGGATACCACACCACGCCGTGCAGAGAGCGCCGAGGACAGTGCCCACGACGATGCCCGCAACCGATTGACGGAGGGTCAAACCCATCTCGGGGCCTACCATGCCAATTGGAAGGGTGCCGACATGGCAAGTGACTGACCACCACATGAAGAAGACATTGAGGATGGACGGCGGTCTCTTGTCCTCCTCACGAATGCGGTCCACGCCCTGTGTCTCAATGCCCATCTTCGCATCCAGCCATTCCTCTCCCTGGCGCAGTTTGCGCAGGATGCCCTTCTTCTGCTGGAGATCGCGCGCACGAATAGCCTCAGCCTCTTCCGCGGTGCCCTCCTCGTATGGTGTTGAGTTGGCTGCCTCGACGTCTATGTCCGCGTGGGCCTCCTTCTCGTTCTCGACAACGACCTGCTTGTCATTGTGCGGACGCTCGAGAGACTGGCGCCGATCGGCTTGGTCGCCGTGAACAAAATCCATTGCAGCAGGATGTCGAAGTGCGACTGAGGAGATTGATTGTGGGTGTCTCTCGCTCGCACTGGGGGAGGCAGAGGCGGAGGCAGAGGAGAAAGGACAGGAGGTTCAGCGGTCGCATGCGCAGCCATGGTTACTTGTACTATTCTGACATGGAGAGGGGGAGCGATAGACAGCTTCTAGAAGCCCGATCAGAAAGGACTTCGAGACAGGGCATAGCGAATCAGAGAGGGAAAACCATGCGGGCGATGGGAGATGGGAGCCACCAGATAAGGTGTTGACAGGGCAAAGCGAGAGAAAGTCTGAGAAGATAACCCGGGGTCCCCACTAGGACTTATCAGGAAGGTCGATTCCTCTGCAGAGAACATCGTTGGATTGTTGGGTTCTTGGAGGAGCGGAGTACGCCGGTCCTGTACTATACTGTTGATACTCCGTGGATAGATCCCAGTTCGATTCAAGATATGATAGATAGATGAGATATATCAACGGGAAGATAGCTGATAGCCGTCGAGCCAGTTATACGGAGCGGAGTATCAATCCCCCGGAACCGCGGTCCAGACGACTTGCCGAGGTCTAGCGCCCGCCCCAGTCGCAAGGCACGCGACAACAAAGGTAAAGTATCCAAGTCACATCGAACACCGGGGTATACTTTTCGGGATACGGACAAGAGGAATACCGGGTAACTATCTTCCTGACATAGCTGCCACCCTTTGACAGAGGAACCGTTCTTAGGGCAAACCAAATAACCAATCACCGATAAGGTACCAGAGCCTGAGGAATCAGACACCTTAGTCTGCTGACCTCTTTTTTTGTCTTCAACGTTTAGGCTCGAATGGATTTTATATAATTGTAAGTTGCCCATTTGTCTTCATCTTGTATACTCTCTGTTCCTAACGCTATTATAACGAAAGCGCTATGTTCCTACCGCCCCCTATTCAGCACTCGACGAGAGGCACAATCAGCCCGGTTTGTGCCTCGATACACAACAACCAGCGGGCTCAGACCAAGGCCTAAACTATCTAGATACATTGCAGAATTCCTAGACATAAGTTGAAAGCTCTCTTAATGGACCAAGGACAGCCCCCGTCTGATTTTACGAGGCTACCTACCAAGCTACCCCCTTTTACCCCTACAATAACCGAGAGGCGGTGAAGACAAACCGGCAGAATCCAAGGCTGAGCTGGAAAGCGACTCAACTACTCTTTCCTCCTCTAACTTCATGACTCTAAACAACACAATATATAAATTCTCGTTGCAGAGCTTTGCATTTCTCAATCAAAAGTGTTTAAGAAGTTATTTTAGCAGCTTCTGGGGCCAGGTTGGACCAACATTGACAGCGACATTCAACGCAACCTCTTCAGCCTTGTCCCAAGTCCCGCAAACCAGCTCACGACGTCGATCGAGCAGCGCGGTATGTCGGGTTCAGATACCAATAACCGCATCGGCACCCAGTCACAATCTTCTCAGGCACAGCATCCTGCGACTACTTGTACCATGTTTCCCAAATTCAAGGAATTGCCCTGTGAAATCCGTGAACAGATCTGGGAAGCGTCCTTCAGGCCTGGATTCATCTCTGTAAGTGGTTTGGGCATATTCTTCAGGCATTCAGTCTCTCAGAAAGTATTAGCAAACTCTAACCCTCTCATTTTCTATAGCTACATTGCGAAAAGATTGAATACGATCAGGAGAACCCTCCTCCGTTCGTCTACCTTGTGTCGAGCAATACTAGCGTCAGTGACGTGCAAACAACAGGATTGCCCTTTACCGCCTTCCTGACACTTTCCCACGTCGAGCCTGTTGCCGCACTCTCAACAACCCATGAATCGCGGGATGTTGCACTGCGGGGCCGCTACAGAAAATGGAAGATCAGGAATGCTCGTGGACTGGTTAGAAATGTGATGTGGTACCCCAACATCGATATCGTTGATTTCCTCGATTCAGATTCCCCGTTATCGATGGTTGGCAAACCAATATCTCCTCTCACGATCTTTGAAAAGCAGTACCCAGACGAGATCAAGGAGGTTAGATACCTGGCCGTGTCAACGAAGCTTTGGAACGAAACATCCCACCACGATATCAAAGTTGTCTGGCCCTTGATTGATTTCATGAGTTTGAGGGAGTTGCTGGTTATCACGGATATAGATCATGAGAGGATGTGTCTTGCTCAGATCCGGTCGATGCGTCTGCGTCCGTGGCTAATACCGGAGGATATCGAAGACCAGATGGACGTGCTTAGGGCTCACTACGAGACGTATGGCCCAGAATACCATCCTCTCCCTAGGAAACCAAGTGTGCGAGTTACCAAGGATCGGCAGGGGATCTTGAATGGGGATGAAATGCACATCATTCTACGAGACCTCGGGCGAGCATATCTCGATTCTCGGATATCAAGTGTAGTTGGGCGCTGGACGTCGCGGGATTGAATGGTTGGAGGAGATGCGTTCCTCACAGCTCTCGCTGCAAGGTCAGATTCTCATGGCGAGTTCTTTCATTAGAGTAAATACCCTAACAAGCATACCTACCGAATGGGGATATCGGGAAGGCCTTTGATAGATAGCTAGTCACTCAAAGGGTCTTATCGAGTCATCCTAACTATATACTCTCTCTTCTTGTACAGTGTACTAGGCTCTAGCATTCTTAATCCCAACATGAACATCTGAAGAAGAACCAGATTTAAGGTATTTAGGTAAGGTACAAGTTGCGATGTGATATAAGGTAACATTAGCCGGGGCGAGGTGTTTTAACCCCTTTGTTTTTTTCCAGCGTATAAACGATTTCAGGGCTATGATACAGATAGATAGATTATTAGACAATTAATTACCTTATCTAAGGTATCTAGTTAATATCTTCTTAACTTAGTTTATTTTCTTTTTTATGCTTGAAGAAGGGCTTCAGGTGATGTCATTCAGTCCATGTAGGATTCGATTGAGTTCTTGAGAAGAGAGTTAAATAAGGAGATAGGTATATGTTTGTGTTTAAATTAAGTTTTATGTTTCTTAGATCTTCTTCTCGGTGACAGTGAGTGAGTAAGTGCATGAGTGAGACTTTTTGTAAAGATCAAGAAGCCGAAGCAACATGATGAATAGGTAAGGTAGGTACGGAGTGAGTAAAAAGCATAGAGGAGGGGGTGGGGGTGGGGTTCTAGTTCGTAATTCATCTCATCCCGAGATCCTCCTCCGAAAGCGGAAAAATCTTACTCTGTAAAGATGACTTGCTTACCTATACACAAGCTCATCCAGATATCCCGTAGCAAATGAAGTGGCTCCGTAACGAGCTCGTGGGAAGTGCTATACGTACCTTACTCCGTATAACCTCGGGCCCCGGGCCGCAAGGACAAGCGGGTTCCTGCATCATTTTGGTTTTTGCATGTGTGTGTGTGCCAAGAAGTAGTGAGCTCAATTGAAAGTTAGGTTATAAATTATTAGATATCCTTCTTCTTCTTACTTGTTTATTGATTCATCGAATTTCGAGATTCTCACACGCACTCAACTCGCACATCAGCATCCATCCCCATAATCAAGAAACCCCGCAATCAATCAAGCCTCCTCCTCCTCCCCAGACCAGACGACCCCACCTCCCCCACCACAACAAAAGCAAAAGGGAAAAAAAAATAACAAATAAAATGGCCCCTCTAACGCCAACCTGGACACAACCCTCGCACCCCTTGATCCAAGAAGTGCTCATCGGATCGTCGCCCACCGAAGAGTTCAGCACCAAATCTATCTCGCGCGTCGCGCTGCCGCCCGATGCCGTGTTTGCGGAGCTGAGCTTCCCGCCGTGTACGAAGGCTGAGAGGCCGACGTATGCGACGGTGCAGATGGGCAGGGATGAGCATTTGGATTTGAATTCGGATTTGTTGTATATTAATCATTCGTGTGAACCGAGTCTTGTAAGTCTTGTTGATTTTGTTTATTTTTTATTTTGATTTATTTTTTTTTGTTTTTGAGATGTTGTTGTTTTGGTGGTTTTTATCTTTTATCTGTTATCTAGTTATCACTCACTTACTCGTTGGTGGATCATGATTTTGATTCTGGGGAGGGAGCAGATGATGAGATGAGATGAGATGAGATGAGACGAGATGTCCAACTTCATTCATTCATTTATTCATTCCACTCTCGCGAGAAGTCTTCTCGTCTCTCCCCCCCC